TGACTGTAAATGACTATTGATTAACAAATTATTCAGTACAGTTGAATAAAATATGTGAGTATTTGTTAATGTACAGTTCAATTCTGGCTTGTTTGATGACATTTTTACAGTATATTTTATCTATTTTATTTATTAATGCTTAAGGTCCTTACTTGTCTTTGTAAATGTGGCAGATATTTCAATCGACTCCACTGGCAGTACGTTGCTTGGGATAAAGTTGCTCACAAAGCAGTAAAACACATATAGTGATGTGTAATTTTCAAATTTCTGTCATAATGATACACAAAGCTTACTTTCTAATCACAGCAGTGCTGACACAAGTTTATTAGCAACATTAACAAGTGCAATCACCTCACTGAATGTGCTGATTTAGAGGGATACTGCAGGTAATTTTGCCTTGTTTGAGGTGTTTGTTGGCAGCCCTACCTTGCTGCTGACCCGCTATGAGCAGGACAACCTGTGTAGTTTAACCTAATTACCTGGATGTAGGTTACCGAGTTCAAAGTCTTAAACCCATAGTAGTGCGTGTCCACTGGTTATCTCCAGTAATCCTCATTACAACCCTGAGAATACTCCATCAGACAACCGAGGAAGGTCAAAGGTCAGCACCAGACAATAAGGTCACCATGGCAACCGTCAGTGCTGAAGACCTCCACAGCTGCGTGTGAGAGGGGGAAGAGGAGTTCAGACCTGGCAGGAGCGTCTGCAGGGACAAATCACTCTCACTTTACATCTTTACATCAAGATGGATCCATTTGAGAACAATGAGGGTGTTTTGCTGCATGACTACAGGCTAAAAAAATCTTAATTCAAACACACACACAACCATGTGCGTGAACAACCCTGTCTGACAAAAACATGCAGGTAAGAATTAATCACATCCAGACAGATACAGCTTTGAATATCTGCCATAATGCCAAAGCAAACAGTCACTGCTGGGTGCTGCAGGCTGCATGTCCTCCCTATCAGAATGCTGTCTGGAGGGCTCGGCAAGTGTTTTCCTGATACATGTGTTATCTCAGCCACACAACTCTTCTGGCAAATGCATTGCAGCAGAAAAAGGAAGAGTGGAAAAAGTGCAGGAGATAAATTAGTTTGCAGGAGTAGCTGGGCTGAGCTTGCGAGCTGACGGGAAGCCTGCAGGTTACTATTTGTATGAAGTACAGTTTCCACTTGCAGTTGTATCGCACCGAAATTAATGCTTCCTTTGCTATGTAATTATGGTGAACCTCAAACTCACCTCAAGTGCACCTCACCAGGTGCATAGTCTTGATAAATAGAGTGACAGAAGGAGACAACACTCACAGATAATCGTTAATACTATCTGTGAGTGCTGTCTTTTTTTGCATTTGTCCAACACAAGTCACACATATTACCATATATAAAACAAAGCTATATTTATGGCAAAACAGTTACAGCTTCTTAGCTTCTTTACATTTATGTTGAAGTAAACTGTGCTCATCTCCTTCAGTGTATGCAGTAAAGTGTTTTTAGAAATCTCCATATATCACAGCTACATTGGAATGATAGGAGAAGTGAACTGGTATAAACAATGGTGGTCTGATTACAATGGGAATGATCAGAACTGAAAAAAAGTCCATATCTTGCATCCTTAATGTATGTATTACATTATGTATTTAAGAGTTTGTGACTGTAGAAGTCAAATGAGCTGCCAGCACTGGCTGACTGAGGGGCAACTGTTTACACAACGGGTCACTTCCTGTTTGTCCAAATGCCGATGATGGTCCTGTGTTATAATGTGTTTGTTTGTACTATATTCCTGCAATGTGAATGTTATTGTTTATGAGTGCTGACATTACCATTGTGAGTCTGTAAAAAAGTGACTCAGATATGCAGCCTACAGCTCTAAACATGTCAGGATGTTCAGTTAAATTCACTCTCACTCACTCACTACAAATACATTTGTGAACTCTATGAACTGTACACTTTTGTTTCTAGTGTGTATGCTCTAGCATGTGTGTGTCTTTGTGTGTTGTTCAGGGCCAGGTCTCAGTCTTGTCCTCACTGCCCAATACAAGGCGAGGCCATGAGGGGGCCATCAAGCCTGAGTGAAACCAGACATTTTTAAAAGGAAAGCTCCACTCTCACTATGCACAACACTCACTGTCTTTCTAAAAAACACAAAATCAAAACAGTTTCTGGTGTTTTTGTATTTTGTCTTTGCATACCTAACCCTTACACTGCGATATCTGTATAATGTTATGAGTGTATTTTTGCAAGTATATGTATATGTTTAATGACCAAACCAAACCAAATGCAGCCACACCAACCACTAATAGCTCATTATGGTAAAACCAGGAACAGAATTCACATGCCACTACATGAACTCCTCCGTGGCCTCTGCCCCTTTTTTTCACTTTCTCCAGGAGTTGGAAACGTTCGTTGGAAGGGTGTGTGAGCTTGATCAGCAAGACTGGCCAGCACGTGTTTTTGAACGTATTACTCACACTACACATATAAATTAAACACACATACACTCACTGTGTGTTTTACTTACACATTTAAATACAAGACAAGAGGTAACCTTGCTCGAAATGCTCTGCATCTAGAATTAGCTAAAGGATGCAGTTGTGGATTTGACCTGCAGTTCATTATGATCTTGACAGCACTTCACACATTTGTGTTAACAAAAATGGGGGGACACCTGGCTCTTGTTGCTTGAATGAAAAGGGATCTGTTGTTCATTTTACTTACACTGCTGTCTCCTAACTACAGCATGCAGCATGTGCTACACAGGCACATATGCTGTCAAACATCAAAAGTCACAACCACATAAATAAGATAAATAAAAGTCTGAGCCACACACACACACACACACACACACACACACACACACACACACACACACACACTCAAACACACACAAACACAGACCCATATTTCAGGATATTCCAAATAATATGTTTGTAAATCTCTGCCTGGCCTGATCTGTCCCTCCTTGCCCTGTGCTATACTCAGAAATAGTGCACAAAGGTCTCCACTACTAATACTGCAGGTGTTATATAATCAGCCCCAATCTGCTACTGCCACTACAACTCTGAGGGCTCTGCCAGTGGATGCATGCACGTTTGCACACACAGCCACATGGACCCTCACTCACAGTTGTGCACACACATACCTCCCCCAGCCACATGGACACCACTGAACTATGTACATGGTTATGTGGCTCTAGTAGCCAGCTGCTGTGAAGAACTCTTATTCCCACCTACCAAAATGAATACGACAATGTCTATTGGCCTGTTGTATATTAGTATATTATAGATAAAGAACATTAATTTCAAAGGCTTTGTGAAATTCAGCTAACCACTCATCTAAATAATTTCAATACTTACAAAGTTTTGTAATTGGTAAAAAGTAACCAAAAAGCTGCCTTCTTATACATGCTGCATATAGGAAGCAACATTATTATTCTCTTTTAGACGTGTTTCTGGATACTCAACCAAGTCCGATGTTCACTAGCCTTTTAGTTCTGTTTTGGTGTTATCCAACTCCAGAGAAAATATATGGGTCTTTAGGCTATTACATGCTGGATCTTCACCAGCTATTTGCTAAATTTGTCAAGTTGATGTGGCAAACTTGCTAGCAAACAGTTGCTTATTCACACATCCAGCAGCTACAGAGCAACATTATACATACAAACATACATTTGGAGTCGTTTTTCTGGCGAATGTAAGTCCAATATTCATTCTCTTTTAGCTACAGCAACTCCTGAGGAAAATATCTGGCTTTCACTGCTTAATGCTCCACTATGTTTACCTGCTAGTCGCTAACTTTGTCTGTCTGCTGTTTGGTGCTGAGCAAGTAGTGTACTGGGGGGTTTTTAGGGCTTTTTCTCTCAAAACAGATGCTTGTTATAACTGAAAATGGCACTAATAGAACGGTGAGAGTGAACCAAAGCAGTAAAGACCGCTAAATGATGAGCTAAAACTCACACAAAGCTCTGAAAAGGGAGCAGCAGATTCAGGTGATAATTCTCTGTAGGTTCATCACTACAAGTGACAACTTTCACAGTCACACTGGCATTGTCACACTGTTTTCACATTTCATTTAATTGAAAATATTGAATGTAACTGCTTTAAAGTTGAAAAGTTGAAAGTTGAAAAATTTGTCTCTAAACCAGCGTCATGGATGTTCATCGTGTCACTGAGTTCTCTCCTAAAATACCAGTTCACAATGCCATTCAGTGCCACTGTGCACAAACATCCAGCTCAAATTGGCTTTAATTACATTGCCATACCCATCCACACACACAAGCATGCACATACATACACGCTCTATGTGCAACTTATAAAACAGATTATTCTCTTGCTTGCACCATGGATGGCACACACAAAACAGACGCATACTCCCACCACGTGCTGAGCTGCTGCCAGTCATGTGACAGCGCCTTCCTGTCTCACACGGGACATCTTCAACACTCTACAACATTGTGCATGCATTCACACCTGATCTCTGTTCTCCACACACACACACACACACACACACAGTGCACACACACACACACACACACACACACACGCAGTCTCACACACACACACACACAGTCTTGCACACGCACACACACACGGAGACCAGTACTTCCCCTTTTAACACTTAACTCATTCCCCGACTTATAACAGGAAGACACCATGAAAGTTAAGTGTACAGCATCTGTTGAAACCAGTCGAGATAATTCACAATGTGAAAGTGAAACCTTCTGTTTCAAACTGTCTGGCTGGCTCAACTCTCGATCATTGCTGCTAACAGTGGACAGCTGTGGAACCTTGGAGATTAAAAGCAGTGATGTCAGACAATAACAATCGCTCTTTCTTCAGTTGTTTCAGTTCAGCAGTGTTCAGATGCAAAAGAAGCTCTAGTTTATTCGTTACCTAACTGTATCTCTCTGTGGGAAATAACCTAACACCTGACTGCAACAAAACCCCCTGTAATGCTATTAAATGTAATTAAAACGTGCTCGTGCAGTATAATATAAGCCTCACCTGTGCAGCAGAGAGAGTGAGCGGAGATGAAGGTCTTCTCCTCTTCAGTTCCACGCACTTCCTCAGCTTACAGATCTGGTGGCCAGTCCTGCGGTTGAGGCAGCAGCTGCATTGGCCACAGTTGATCTTCCTCAGGCATGGCTCGCACGCCCCGCACCTGCTCCGCTTCTTCCTCTCTTTCTTCTGTGATTTCGGAGCAGTCCACGAGGGCAAGCAGCCCCCCTCTGCCCCCCAGGATCTTGGTAGAATAGCAAGGCTGGGCTCTCCATACCCTGCCTCTGATTCAGTATCGAATGAAAAAGAGGAGCGAGTGCTTTCTGAGCTGCAGGACAAAGTGGAGCTACTGTCCAGAGAGGGAGTCGAGATCTTTGGCACTGAGTCCGGCTCCGTCACTGCTACGACAACGCTGTCCTCTCTGAGGGTTGGTTCACACTCAGCTGTGCGGGGATCTGTGCTTGACTGAGGAACTAGTGACAATGACAACGAAGATGTCTCTTTCTGGCTGTGGCGCTCCAATGCCTCTGGATTGGATTCACGATCTTTGGTCTGCGTCTCTGCTGGTGTGCAAGCTTGTCTTTCTCCCTGAGGAGAAGGGAGCTCTGGCCTTTGCAGTTGGTGTGGTTCCCCCTGGCTAGAATCCCTCAAGCTTCTAGGTTTGAGGGAGTCACTATGGATAATAACTGGCGTGTTTCTTTTCACTAGAACAGTCTGCAACATCAGGGCAGTTTCAGGAACAACTGAGGACTCTGGGAAGTGAGGTTTAGCACCATGAATGGTAGGTTGCATGTCTGTCTTACCCTGGCTCAGAACCTCTAGTTCAAGTGCCTCTGAGGTGGAGGGGGCTTTGGTGGGATTTGAGGTAGCTGTGTTGGAGACTGGTAGCACACTTACAGGTGATTCTGACTGTGCTGTCAGTTCATCGTTAGAGTTAGGAGGATCCGGAGGTTGAGAGGCTGGAGTGCCGGGGTGGAGGTCAGTAGGATTGATGCATACATCATTCTCCTTTTCTTTTTTTCCTCGTTCTTCTCCCTTACAGTAACCCAGCTTCTCAACAGTGTCCTCCATCTCTTCCACAGTCTCGTTTTGTCTCTCAACTGCTTTGTCTGCCTCTAAACTCGCTCTTCTCTCATGATTTATCTCTTCTTTTCTCTCAGTGACAACTATCACTCTTTCATCTGTCCTATTCTCTTTCAAGTCCAACAAGTTACCTTCCTCTTGATGGACAGTACACACATCATCTTGCTTACTATCACCGCCAAGTAGCTTATTTCCAAGGATAGATGAAGTGTCATTTCCCTCGCAGCAACCCTGCACCCCTGGTGAGCCGCTACTCGTTAGCGCAGAGGGCTCAGAGGGGCTGTCTTTGCTTCTGTCACTGCAGAGTTTGAGCTGTCCATCAACATCGTCACCGACGGTGGCCCCAGTCACACACCTCAGGTCATCTTCATTGTTATGACTGACAGTGTTTTTGTCTTTCTTGGTTGAAGTACTGTCACAGCTGCACTCCACACAGTCTTCCAGTGTGTCATTACACGGTGCTGGATCTGCTTTAAGAGGGCTGCCCTCTAAAACATTTTTGACTCCTGGACCCTGATCTTTGATAATTGCGGGAACTTCAAACTCAGTTTTTAGAGACACTGGAAGAATTTCTTCAACATCACAGGAGTCAAGTTTCTTGTTTTCCTCTTCATCCTCGTCAGGAGCTGAATCGTTGATACTGGTGCTTGAGGGCTTGTTTCTTGTGTTTCCGTGCTGTGATGCTGCCCCTCTCCCTGCGCTCCCCCTGCTGTTTCTCCCTCCTCTGCATGGTTTAGGAGGCTGGCAAGGAGAAACAGACACCCGCGTGCCCCGCAGGGATGTCCTTCGCCCTAGGGGGGCTTGTAAGTCGCCACAGTGGTCAGGCAGATTGCTCGGTCGCCTAAGCCTTGTAGATCCTGTTACATTTAGGGCATGGTTAACTCTGCCAGGGGACCTCCCAGGGCCCTGACCAGCAGGCCCACTAACCCCTCTTCCACGGGGGCTTCGGCCTGACTGTGCCTGGGCTCTGACTGTTGACTTTTTTGGTTCTGCAGGTGTTTTCTGGGGCCTCTCTGTGGCTCTTCCTTGGGGTTTATTTGAGTTGCAGGTTTGCCTCTTGTTGCCGATTACTTTCTGGGCATTTTTTCTCTGGGCAGGTGTCTGTCTCCTGGCAGGTTTGGTAGTAGCAGGCATGGCTGAGGGTGTGCAGGAGAGGATTTCTGGGAGCCAGCATGGGAGCCAGGTGGATGTTTATCTGTTGTTCAGCACACACTTTTTTTTTCTTTTACTCTTTAGTGTTTAACTCTTGAACTGTAAATTAGGATGCTTTTGCTGTTGTGTAATTGCAGTGCATGACCTATAAAGACAGAGAAAACAAGAAGAAAAAAATCTAAACAAAATGGTCTAAGCACCTATAAATGTTTTTTTTTGTGTAATAATGACAAAATATTTGCCCAGTACAAACACACTGAAAAACATAAAATACGATTTAATGACTGACAACATGATAGTATTAGAGCTATAAAGCTAAATCTCCACCAATTTTCTTTACTTTGTCTGCTGGAAATGACACTTTTGCCCCGCCTGAAATATCTACTCGGACGAGCAAGTGTTGTAGGTTGACGTAAAAAAGGACGATTCAATGCATCTATACATAGAAGAATATTTTGAATAAACATATCATAAAACCAGAGGAACTATATAAAAACAATAACCAAAGCTTCCTGTGTGGTTTCAGCAGTTTAAAGGGCAAGCAGGTTGAGGAGTGGGCTCTGGCCGGAGGTCGGATCCTGTTTTCGTCTTTCTGACTGGCGGAAGAGGGGGTTATTACCGTGTAAAAAACGCCTTCAACGTCGCTGTTTATTATTATTTTTTGCACTTGACCGCTGTCATTTAAAGCGCCGCGTAGATATAGACCTCATCGCGTCCCGAAACCTCACTTTCGTACAGGTTGTTTAGTTGCCCGGGAGGTTTTATTTACACGTTTACGGCTGAAATGCTTTACATACCAGAGAGAGACAGTTGCACTGTCTGAACTGCTAATAATACTCCGCTCCAGCGAGACAGCGAGACCTTGTATTGGTTTCCCTCCTCGGCAAATATAGACTGCTGGCAAGTTCAATCCTCTCACGACGATGACACATGGACATGATACAAGCGCCGACGTGAACACACATCGAGTTGGTTTTTTAAACGTGCACCGTCTAGTCTTTGCGGAGCACGACACCCGTTAAAATGTAAATCCCTCTTATGTCAATCCATTCAGGGCAGCCCCGCTCACTCTCCCTCCACCAGACGCAACCTACGGTCTCCGCTGGCCAGAAACTCGTCGTCGGCTCTGGAGGGGGGAGTGGACAAGAAAACCTGGGATGGATCTCAAACGTCATTTGCCCTCAGTGCACCCAGTGCTGTGTGGACACAGGACTATGCTAGAAAAGATTGTAATAAAATATAATTAATCTTTGATCAAAGGTAATTAATATTTGGTTGAACGTTTATGTACGTAAGATGAATACGCAGGCTGAGACTTGTTCATATAAATTTATCTAAATTCAAAATCATGTAAAAAGTCATATGATATTACAATGCTATACTGGATAAAATATATATTTTTTGTTATTATTTACAACATTGTGACACACAACAATGGTGACATTCACATGGCAACAACAATCAAACATCCATAAAGTAAAGAAACATAAAAAGATCAGATGTACAGTAAAGTACAAAAAGTCTGAAAATACGAAGGTCGTAAGATCACACTATGACACACAATGAGAATCGATGGTTAACCACAGAGAAGTGAAAAAAGGCATACAACATTAAATCCCTTTGAATAATTCATGGAGAAGACTGAAAGCGTACACACATTTATTATTGGTAATAAGTTCAATCAAACTCAAATTCAGTCATTAAAAGTGCAATACTGGACTTGTGACATTAATAAGTTAACAGGCTGTTGTATTTTTTCTTTTTTGTTTTCATGGTATAGAATGATATATTTGGTTTGTTTGATTGGTAAAATATACACTCTTGTGAATAGGCATTTACAAAATAAATATTTTATTGTGTCTCCTTCCTGTTTACCAAAATCCTATTTGTTAATGATATTTACAAATCTTGAGATGTAAGTGTTAGTTGGAAATATAAATATATTATGAACAAGTTTGTGTTGCACTTCTTTTAATTATTGTCGTTATTGAATGGTTATAAGTTTGTTTATTGGTTTCAATGTGTAGTCCCCTCCCCCATGGTTTACGTCATATCGCGTCAGCAACATGCGACTGTTTTCGGCCACCAGCCAGTCAGTCGTCTACGGGCGAAGGACACAAATGTAGTTACATGAATCTTCAAAGTGCCTCAGATTCATTCATAACTCCAGTTCTTGTCAGTGTATTTTTTAACCTGAAGCAGTGAACGACGAGCTCCTCGGTGCGACACCACCCTGTGTCCATGGTAAAGCCCCACGTTAACAGCCAGGATTGTCCCGAGGCAGGAGGGAATCGAGAGAAGCTGCAACTCAACGAAGGAGAAACAGATTTGTTGAACAGATTTCATCAGACCCAGCTCTCACTTTGCTCTTTTGGCTACTCAGACAGTTTTCATTATCTTGTGAGTATCCCTTTTTAACAGACACCCAGGGGTACATGTTGCCTCTTGACTCAATCTACCTGCTGATTGTGGTGGAATGTAACTAAGTATATTTACACGACTGCTGTACCTCAATGTAAATTTGAGATACTTGTACATTGCTTGAGTATTTTCATTCGTTACTACTATATGCTTCTTCTCCATTACACTTCAGTGGGAAATATTGTACATTTATTTGACAGTTAGTAGTTACTTAACCAATTAAGATTTTACACATAAAACATAAGCAGAGCTTTAAAAATGTATAACTAGTGCTGAAATAATTAGTTGACAAATTCATCAATTAAGAGAAAATTGCTGAGTAATGGTCATTTTTCATGCAAAAACATTTCACCAGCTTAATCCATAATGAAAATTGTCATTAGTTGCACTAATGCTGCACCTCAGCTACAACATTAAATTGCTGCTTGTACATTAATGCATATAATAGAATAATATTGATACTAATCTAATAGTATGATTTACTTTTACTCACTTACTCAATACTTGAATAAAGTACTTATGTTTAATGCTTTTACTTTAATAACGTTTTCAATGCAAGACTTTTCCTTGTAGTGGAGTTTTTTTGATAGTGTGCTATTAGCAGTTTTATTTAAGGATCTGGATACTTCTTTCACCACTGGAACCATAACAGTTACATCCCATTGCAAGCCAAAATTTATCAACCTTGTACCAGCCTTAAATAATTTAAAAAAACTGACAGTGGTTTGCTCATAGAGATACAGTCTGTATTGTCTCAAAGTAATTCACACATGCTCACTTTTACCACATTGCACAGCCATGGATGTGGCAGATTCCTGAGCAGAAAGGATGACATCGGAGGCTGCAGTCTCCACACCTCCTGCAATAAGCAGCACCCCCGCCCAGAGGGACTACTACTGGCTTCGCTCATTTGTAGCTGGAGGTAAGATCTGACTCATCAGTTTTTACCATCACCATTTCAGGTCTGTGATGATTTACTTAAAGTAGACACTTTGACACTAGGACACAGGTTCAAGCCTCTGTTTACCAGAGAGACACTTTCTCCTTTGCTTCACTGTCTCCTGCTTCCTTTTTGACCCAGAAACTGATGTCTGCACAGCCCTCCTACTGACCTTAACCATACTGTACTACTACATACTAAAATAGGTGACTCCACTTGCACTGCCCCAAATCACATGCAAGCCAGGGTGATTTGCCAGCAAGAATGTTGCTTTCTGTTAATTAATGCTTGGAGTTTAGACACTTGGTGAATTACAGTGTCTTTGTCAGAATATATATATATCAGTCAACACCAACTGAGTTTTTATTGCCACAGCAGAACTTGACCTCATGTAACCTTACTTAAAAATGATGCCAATGAGTTTTACGCTAGATATTTAGTAATATATTCGTTAATTCCGTGTTTCTCTGTTTTCATTTAGGTGTAGCAGGATGCTGTGCCAAGACTACCATTGCTCCTCTGGACAGAGTGAAGATTCTTCTTCAAGCCCAGAACCCCCATTACAAACATCTAGGTAAAACATCAGCAGGAAAACATGGAAAGCCAATAGGTTTTCACACATCTGTGCCACATGAGAGGAAACGTCTGATCTTTCTTTGCAGGAGTGTTTTCCACTCTCAGAGCTGTGCCAAAGAAAGAAGGTTTCCTTGGCTTGTACAAGGGTAATGGGGCAATGATGGTCAGGATATTCCCTTATGGAGCTATCCAGTTCATGGCCTTCGACAATTACAAAAAGGTACAGTATGTGCTTCATTGTAAAATAAGGCTTTTTCAAAGGGCAAAGTTCTGAAAACTTGGTAAAACTGACGATAGGGGTCGTTTAAGGCAATGTGATATGCTTGTTACTGTGTGTGTTTTGTGGCAGTAGGGACAATTTGCTACAGTTGAAGTGAAATACAGTCCATTTTTTTTCTTTTTATTGGTGAACCTGTTAACCTTTGTTTCCTCCCTGCTGATGCTTTTACAGCTGCTAAGTAAACAGATTGGGATCTCTGGACACATCCACCGCCTCATGGCAGGATCTATGGCAGGTAATTTATTCTTCAAACTGATAAGACTTGCTTTTTCAGTCAGTGCCAGCGGGATATCGTGCTTTTCTTCTCAGGTATGGTTTTTGATTGTTGGCTGAGCACACGTTATTTGTTCCTCTTGAATCATAGATATTTAGATTTGTCACCTCAGTGCAGACTTTCTTATAATGTGACACAGTGCATCACCACGATGCAAGTAAATGTCACACCTTGATATGTATGTTATGAAATCTCAAAGAAAGTTATGTGTGCTTGCATCAGCATAAAGAGATTGAGAGTACAGTAGACCTAGCAGCCAAATTGTGTGAGTAAATAGTGAGGAATCATAACCATATTCACAAACTGTCTTTCTACCACGTTTATTCTCATACTGTGTGTTTTCAGGGATGACTGCGGTGATATGCACCTACCCTCTGGACGTGATACGAGCCAGACTGGCCTTCCAGGTGAAAGGAGAGCATCGCTACACTGGAATTGCCAATGCCTTCCACACCATCTACCTTAAGGTGATCTGCAAGTGTTTAACTTCTCAGACAAATAGGACTCTCTTTCATTAAAATGCATTAAAATCAAATGCTCTGTGTGACATTCAATGCAACTTTTCCTGCAATGGCTGTTTTTCTGTTTTTGTAAAGGAAGGGGGCGTTTCAGGCTTCTACAGGGGGCTTACGCCAACACTGATTGGAATGGCTCCTTATGCAGGTGACTGATACCAGTCTTTGTTTAAGATCCAGAATCATTGTGAACAGTGTTCCTTGTGTTGCGTTGGCTTGACTCTTTGTCTTCCGCTCGTTTTTATCCTCCAGGTTTCTCATTCTTCACCTACGGCACCCTGAAGAGCCTCGGCTTGAAACATTTCCCAGACCTGCTGGGACGCCCCTCTTCAGACAACCCTGAAGTCCTCATTCTGAAAACCCACGTCAACCTGCTTTGTGGAGGGGTGGCCGGTGCCATCGCTCAGACAATATCGTAAGTGCTGTAGACAGGCAGGCAGCCGACAAGCATCAAGGGCGAGACCCACACAGATGATGAGCTGACAACATGGCTGGTTAATTTGTGGTTTCTGGCTGGGGTGTGTTATTGATTGCACTGATCTATCGGTGGTTGATGTGTCACATCGTGTTTCTTCTCACTAGGTACCCCTTAGATGTGGCTAGGAGAAGAATGCAGTTAGGAGCTGTGCTTCCTGACTCTGAGAAATGCACGTAAGTAGCACATATCTTGGCCACTAGATTTCCTAGTATCATTGAAGAGTATTGTTGTGATGTGTTTTGATTTGTGGGTTTTGCAGTCAACTTGTAGTCTTATGGGTGACGCACTAACTGTAAGGGTGTTCTGAGGGTAATTATGGAGATGAAAACAGCTCACATAACACAGCGCTGATGAATTTCATCCTTTCATAAGTAATTGGTGAATTGATCATCTAGCTAAAGAATCAATTGGGACTCACGTCTGTTCTGAAGAAGTCATTAGTGCCTCTAACTGGGGGAGTTGTTTAAAAATGAAGCTGTTTACAGCAGCTTCAGGCAAGTTGCTCTGCACTCTCTGCAATATGCGGTTCTTAATAAATGTTTGACCCCCGTTTCTCTCATCTTCTCTGTTGCTAGGGGTCCATGTTTTTAAAAAAGAAATCAGAAAAAACACAAGGGAGTGTTTTGGATACAAAATGGGGAGTTTCCACTTGAAATAGTTGATTCCACATTTGGTTTTGTAAGCAGAGTTTGATGGACTGCATCCTTATAAGTGAAGAAAAAATTCCAGAGGTAGTTGGGCTGTTTACATTAGATAAAATACTAAACCCCAAAACTTTAAGCAGTAGAGTAGCAAATGAGCTGTAAAACTACAGCAACATACCGTTCATACCTGAACAAGGTCACATTAAGCCAGTCCAAACATTGCACATTGTTCTTGCATCATCTCCTCTCCCTTAATATTCAAGATTTTTTTTTTTTTTTTTTTTAAATGCTTTCAGTCACTATCAGTGCTCTAGAAGGTCACTTGTCTCATATCCAAGATAAAGTTTTCTGTGTTAATATTGCTGCAGTTCATCAATATGTTTTAGTTCCCCATTGCACAGGCAGACCTCAACAAGAAAACAGCTGATTTAAAATGCTTTAAATGTCAATAATAAAAAATGTCCTGTAAAAAGATGTTATACATTATTTTCAGTCAACACAGTTAATAGGAATTCACTTCAATGAGGCCATAAACAAAACAAAAACACACAAACCTTAGGACATAAAAAAATCAAATAAGAGAAAAACATTTAAAAACACAAACTGCAGCAGCTTTTTAATGTTTTTTGTATCATTCTAATATATATCTTGTCTTGCACCTAAACAGATCGCTGAGCAAGACCCTGAAGTATGTGTACACAGAGTATGGGGTCAAGAAGGGCTTGTACCGAGGCCTTTCTCTCAACTACATCCGCTGTGTCCCCTCCCAAGCTGTGGCCTTCACCACCTATGAGTTCATGAAGCAGGTCCTCCACCTGAACTAGCCACTGTTTTTTAACTCCCAAGTCTGTACCTGGGCCCGTAGGCTCTGAGTCATTAAAGCAACTCAACCTCGATGCTTCCTTCACAGAGTGATCCGAGACTCACTCGCTACGTCTTAAACTCTTCAATGTGGAAATTGTCTTTCCTGTGGGTTCACTGAAGGTACCAGGGAAGTCAGTTAATGCTGACAGAGGAAACTGGATATCAGACAGTGAGGTACTTTATGTCTGTTTCATTCCCTCTTATTTCCTGCTTATGTGACTCGCCACCTCATGAGTGATGATTTACTCAACCACACGACATGTGGTTTGAATATGAACAAATCCCTCATCAGTGTCTCCATGGATAGAGCAGGGCAGCGGCATCTTTGATCTGGATCGGTTGGTTGGATGGCTTGGGGCAAGGATATGCTCTTAAACAATGTTGTTGACAACACAACAACAACTGTCTGATTGTGTAGCAGCCCTCTCACTCACACAGCAGACACAGATGTCCACACAGTCTCACTTGTCTCTTCCAGCTTAAAATGATCAAATTAGCTTATTAACCATTATTCTGTTTCTTTCCAAAGCTCGGTGATATGCTTTTATTTTAACAGTATATCACCCCCAAGCACTTCAATTCTATAACTACACATTTTCTTCATTGTTTATCATGTGTCCTTTTTACCCACTTGGCCGTTGTTGAAAGGTGGCTGAAACTGTAACGTAATCAGATGATTCATAATGATTTATTTATTCAGGGCTTTGTGTGTCTTTAAATTTGGGTTGCAGTAACTTTAGGAGACGATTATGTTTGTGCGTCTTTGCCTTTGTCTTTTACACAAATCTAAGATTAATATAACAAAATTTCACCTGCAGGCTTTTCAGTTTGAGGCAACTTCACATTTTATTGCCAAACCTTGACTAGAGCAGTTACTGTATGTGTTTTCATTTGCTGAAAAACCTTTGTCTTTTTTATGTTGGTTAATGTGCTGGAAGATGTTTAGCGTTGATGATATTGTATTATGTAGATTGATGCTCTACTGTAATCAGAAATATATTTAGAGATGTTTAAGATGTTAGCATTGCCACATGATATGGATGTAGGTCTGATGTTTGCCAGAAGGAACTCAGGAGAAATTTGCACTTCATGACTGTAGCTTTTTCTTTGTGTATTTATTGATTTAGCGACCTGTTGCCACTGGGGGGCAGCATTGAACACAAACTGAATTGTTTACCATCAGAGCTGGATACAACACTCATACACATATTTCATATATCTCTTATCAAATACAAGCGAGAGTAGGCTCTTTATATTTTTTTCTGTTTTGCCTAACCAAAGCAAGTCGTTAGTTAGTGAGTATAATATATGCAGTGCTTTTAACCTGGTTCTGCCAAAATGCTGTTTGCATTTATTGCCCAGGAAGGCTGAACATTATCACTGAATGAAAGTGTTGTTTAATCACGCACCATCAACTCACCACCAATGTTTGGGTGAAGCCTCATCAGTTTGCTGTACAAGCATCCTCCCTTTTCAGCCTCTTGCCTTCGTCTGCATTCAAATGTCTTACTTCCCCAGAGTGATTGATGTGTTTCATTGGAGTTTCTCCACATGCTTGCTGCCTCAGCTTTTAGATCACTGCAAATGAATAGTGAGAAATTACAAAAAACAGTTGCCTCGGAACAGCGGTTTCCAACCTGTTTGGCTTGTGACCCCCTTAAAATATTTGTTAACCAACAAAGAGGCGACACAAAATTTCACAAAAAAAGTAAAAATTAGAATAAAGTCCAAACACACAAACACAAATTTGGGCAGCAGAACTCAATGTTTTTTTGTTCTTTTCTATCCCATTAAAGAGTATAACTTTACACCTAATTCTCCACTTTCATTACACTTTCTATTGATCCTGGTCCCATTTTACAGTGTTCATTTGAACAGGTATTTTCCTTTACTAGAGAAAATCCAGTAACTGTCCATTTAAAACATTCTGTGAACAATCTCTTACATACCCTGAATCACCCAGCCCCTAAATTACAAGGTGACATCATTCAAATGCATTTTCCAAATTTGTGGAGAGGGTGTGTTCAAGCTAAAATCGTGGCGTTAACTGCTATTTGATCATATTGTGAACACCCAGTGTCATTGTGTGACCCACTGGAGGGGTCCAGACTTCCAGGTTGGGAACCACTGCCTAAGTATTAATCGATGATTCGCACAGACTACTGAACACTTTGAGAGTCGTTTACTGTAGAAGTGGTGGGGTGTCGAAAAGGCTTCAGTCACTAGCAGTTCCTCAGTTGGATGGTTGCCACCCATCAACCAGTACAAAAAAACAAAACTTTTGATCACAACAGTCCACCTCAGATGCATAATGAGAAAAGACATCAAGCAGTGAAAAGATATGTTGTAGGTTTTGACACAGTTGGCACCACTGAAGATGACTGTAGCCAGATATTGTACACGCTGCATCAAAACCAAAATGTTCATTCCCATTTTCTGTGTTTAGCTTTGACGTGTTTTCATCTAATAAATGGAAATCTTCCGGCCGCTCCAAACAGCTGGACGCCTTGTGTGTGAAGGTGGTGTTGAACAAAAGTCTAAAAATTTGCAAACCTATAATTCTCCAAAATCACCTTGAAAATTGCGAGTAAATGAGAGACTTCTATGTAACTAATGATTTTTAAGTGTATGTAAGAATAAATGGACTGCAGTATCCGACTGTGCCCACCTGCCTGGGCTTAAGAGTATAATCACATACTCTCACTGGTGATAAGTGGCAGCCTCCATTTGGGAAACAAAATATAGTTTTCAGTAACATTTCTGCTTTTTTTATGTATCTGCAGTACTGCTGTTTACATAAGCTTTCATCTAGTGCTCTTTTGATTTCTGTGTCCTGTCAAAGTCTCCTATCAGATCAGCTGTCCCTGTTGCAACAAATAATTATATAAGATGAGGAATATTCAGATATTTATAGATGTAAATGTATATAATGACTGTACTACTTTATCAGGCTCTGTTAGATGTGACTGAACAATGGAAATGCCTCTTATTATGTTTGTCAGTTTTATTTTCTCTTTTTACATGTTCAATTCTGCCTGCCTTTCTTTTTATGAGCAGAATTACATTACATGTCACCTTCTTAAAAACAGTGTCAAGCCTTGTATCTTTATTTTGTCATTGAATGTGATTAATTATCCTCTCCTGCACTGTCATACTGTTACATCCTTTTTTTTAAACTGGGAGAAGGTGCACTGACTGACTTTTTTTTTCTTTTTCTTTCAATCATTTAAGAGAAAAAAAACAGTGAAGCTGAAATAAGTTAATTCCATTTCCCACTTTGTGTTTCACACGTACACAGCCTTTCTAATGTTAGTGTTCCTGTTTCACCTGTAACACTACAGAGGAACTCTGATTCATTTGCATTTATTTCTTGAACTGAAGCTGGAATACACTACCTGTTGTTGACCAATGACACATGCTGATTTGACTGGTAAATGTGATGTGTGAAAGATATGTACATTCATATGTTCCTTGATGCATTTCAATACTACATCATCCGTTGACACAACAGTTAATCCAAATTAATCCTGTTACAGGAATTCATTCTATTATGCTTTCATGAAAAAACAAACAAAAAAAAAACACCTTCCTGTTTGCAGATAAAGAGAAGTAATTTGATATCAACTTAGTAATAATAACTTCTCCTGTTCCCACGTTCAGGTCTGTACTCCTAGGAAGGACGGTCACATTATATCGTGACTTCATTTACAGTGTAAAGGTGGATGTCACCTACAACACGGAGGGGTGAGAGCTCGTATGTTTCCTGCTCCGCCTTCTTCTGCCTGATTACACATTTTCTTGGTGTTTGTTGGTGAAATGCAGTTTTGAGCAAGAAGGGAAAACTTGCCTTTGACAAAACCTTGCTGCGGACTTTTCATGTTTGGGAGTAGAATTGCTATCCTGCAGATTTCTTCATCCTGAGAGGGCATTTGGACATTATTGGAGTCTGCCATGTCTTCTTACACAGTGACTATTGCCACAGGAAATATGTGGTTCGCAGGGACAGATGACTATATCTACATTACACTGGTGGGCACAGAGCAATGCAGCGAGAGAACGCTGTTGGACAAACCTCTGTACAATGACTTTGAGAGGGGGGCGGTAAGTGATGTTATACTGCTGTAGAGCCAAGTGTATCGTTTTTATCCTCTGATGAATGATGAGCTTTGACACCTGCACACAGAGACTGGGTGTGTTGAAAGTCTTTGCAGTAACTTCTTCCTCTTTTATATCAACATATAGAGTATGAGACTAGTATAAGACGAGACGAGTATAAAACTTTCTCTACTTTGCATATGTCAAACTGTTTTTGAAGCTTAAGTTTATGTCTTTTAATATAACAAAGAATTAACAATGCCCTTATATAAAATAGAAGTATTAAGACTCAGTAATAAGATAAAACTAATGTCGCACGACCAGTTCAGTAAATGACACTATTTCCCAGCACATACTCCTTAATTTAGCTGCAGACTATATTACAGGTGGACTCCTATGACGTGAGAGTTGGGGAGGACCTGGGTGAGATTGTGTTGGTGAAGATCGAGAAGAAGAAGTACTGGATGCACGATGACTGGTACTGCAGGTACATCACAGTCAAGACCCCATCTGGAGACTATGTGGAGTTCCCCTGCTTCCGCTGGCTGGTGGATGACAAGGAAGTGGTGTTGCGAGATGGACGAGGTAGTCATCAGTTAATTTACTCAGAGTCTGCAGCACAAAACCACAAATAAGCTGTGTTATGTCGCTCACTTTGTCTCATGTCTGTCACAGCATATCTGCCTCAGGATGACAAGACCAGTGTGGTCAAACAGCACCGACAAAAAGAGCTGGATTTGAGGAGAAAAACCTACAGGCAAGTTCACTCTTCACATGCACTTTGTGATTGTATTCAGAACTGCAGGGGGCTGAGGCTGCTCACTAATAAATCTGCTGTCTTTTATAGATGGAGGGAATGGCAGCCAGGCTTTCCTATGAGCATAGATGCTAACAGACACAAGGATTTGCCACGGGACATCCAGTTTGACAGTGAGAAAGGAGTGGACTTTGTCCTGAACTACAGTAAGGCGTATGTGTTCCTTTTTAACAGCCTGCTTCAGTGAAGCTTCAACTGGTTTAGATAGCTGTGAAGAGAGCTGATGCCCCTCAAGACAGGGCAGAGTCAGTGGAGCTGTGTCCACAGTCATCACGATGTCATGATCAGATGTTGAGCTTCTACTTGAAAACATTTTCTGCACTCAGGCTTACCTGGAAAAAGAGAGGTGTAAATGTTTGTTTATCACCAGGGACATTTGCATTGTGCTTCCATGCAGATGTGTGAGCTCAAATGTAGACACAATAATGCAAAACAGGTCAAAAACACAACTGTGTGCACTGTGCATCATGCAGTAGTTCTTGCAAAAATGACAAACCTTTGAAAATGATGTATGATGATGAACTGCAGGAAGTGGCTGAGATGGAAAACGAGTCCTGCAATGTGCCATAGTGAGCTTCAAATGTGTCCGAATTGCCGCATCTTTGCAGACGGAAATTGCTGAAGTTAATTCGCATTTATGCCGCTTCTTGCTGCAAAATCATAAATACATATGGAGTATGAAATGTAATTTTCTTTTCCAGAATGCATTTCAATTGCAGAGTTTGACATTTTACAGGAACATGCATCTGATTTATACTTTGACCTTTTTTGATGTGACTATGATACTAATGATGGTTATAAGAATAACAATGATGATGATGATGATAACCATGAATTTCCAGAATAGAGAACCTGTTTGTGAACCAGTTCATGCACATGTTCCAGTCTTCCTGGAGTGACTTTGCTGACTTTGAGAGGATTTTTGTGAGAATCAAAAACACAATCTCAGGTATATTATATTATATAATATTTTGTATTATATTTTATTGTATTAGATTATGTTAAACTATATTACATTACATTATTATATTTTACATTATTATATTATATTATATTATATTATATTGTATTGTATTGTATTGTATTGTATTATTGGCCAGAGTATGTGATGCAACACTGGAGGGAGGACTTCATGTTTGGATACCAATTTCTAAATGGCTGCAACCCCGTAATGATCCAAAAATGCACCAAACTTCCTGACAAGTTTCCTGTCACTCATGAGATGGTTTCTGTCAGCCTGGAGAGGGAGCTGACTCTGGAGGAGGAAATAGAGNTTATATTATATTATATTATATTATATTATATTATATTATATTATATTGTATTGTATTGTATTGTATTGTATTATTGGCCAGAGTATGTGATGCAACACTGGAGGGAGGACTTCATGTTTGGATACCAATTTCTAAATGGCTGCAACCCCGTAATGATCCAAAAATGCACCAAACTTCCTGACAAGTTTCCTGTCACTCATGAGATGGTTTCTGTCAGCCTGGAGAGGGAGCTGACTCTGGAGGAGGAAATAGAGGTAGACAGGGTTTTCTCTGTCCCTGTGAATCTATTTAACTTCATTTTCCATTTCCAAAATAAAAATGTTGGTGGTCATCTTCGTTTTAACAAGGCTAACTACTGATGGTGCCTCATGTGGCATCTTTAAAACAACGTTATGTCTCTCTTCAATTCTCCTGCTGATGCACAATGTAAAGCAATGTTCTGGCTCCAGGCAGGTAACATCTACATAGTAGACTACGATGTGCTGGAGGGCATCACTGCTAATTGCACAGACCCTTGCACGCTGCAGTACCTGGCAGCTCCCATTTGTCTGCTCTACAAGAACGCTCAGAACAAGATCCTGCCCATAGCCATACAGGTACAGTGATGCTGAGTAACAGCAGATATTATTTATGAAAAGTAAAACATTTCCTTCTCCAGGTGACATTTCAGTATAAATTGATTTTCTCTCTCATCCTCTGTCTTTTCCAGCTTGGCCAGACTCCTGGTAAGAACACCCCAATCTTCCTGCCCACTGATGGTCAGTATGACTGGCTGCTGGCTAAGATCTGGGTGCGCTCGGCTGATTTCCAGTACCACCAGACCATCACACACCTGCTCAGGACACATCTGATGACAGAGGTGTTTGCGATCGCCATGTACAGGCAGCTCCCTGCTGTTCACCCTGTGTATAAGGTAAAACTCTAAGTGATTCATTGGTAGATTGATTGGTTGACTGACTTATTAACTCACTGGCTGATGCTCCTTCTCCCAGCTGCTTATCCCACACATTCGTTTTACCATTGCCATCAACACCAAGGCCAGAGAGCAGCTCATCTGTGAATGTGGCATCTTTGACAAGGTTTGTTTGTGGATGCACAGAATTCAAGTAAGAGATCAAAACCACAATCATTAGCTGCAGGAATGATGTGTGATGATGCTGCTTCTTCTCCATCCTCATCAAGGCAAACGCAACAGGTGGAGGTGGTCACGTCCAGCTGGTGCAGAAGGCCATGAAGTCTCTGACCTTCAGGTCTCTGTGCTTCCCTGACATGATCAAGTCCCATGGCATGGACAGCAAGGAGGAGCTGCCCACCTACTTCTACAGAGATGATGGCTACAGGGTATGGGAGGCCACAAAGAGGTGAGAGACAATAGTTTCTGGAGTTTGCAGAGAAATATTCATGGAGTGGCGAGAGGGTGGCATGGAAACTTGAAATGTGGCAAGGGTATGTATGCTGATTTAACAATCACATATATCAGTATTTGATTGGAAAAGCCCCCAAATGAAGATATTTTAAGATTTTCAACTCAAAAATATTTTTATTGCATGAGAAAAACATTGAATATACAAAAAAGCTGACTTGCCCTACCATAAAATACTGTACTTTGCATATTAGACCAGTAGGGGCCACAAAATCTATGCAAAGACAGCTGTAATAATTATGATAAACAACAAGCAAGTCTCTTGTATTGTCATGCAACTGGAGAAATAATAGAGTTATTTCCATTCAGCTGTCAACTATAACCCCAACTTGAATGCAATAATCATGTGATGAAGTGTGGTTGTAAACACAGCAAAGGTGCTCTGACAAAGAATCTTGTGCCTCATCTTTATCTAACATAGCCATCATTAGGTCACTGACTGGTTCAAACATGACTGACAGTGGAGGAGTCGGCTGTGATTGTTTTTTCTCCTGGGATGAACACAGTGTATGATCTATCACTCTCAAAATAAAATAAAATAAATTCCTCTGACTAAAAGTGCTGCTTCAAAGTAAGAATACTTCATAGAAATGTAGTGAAGTCAAAAGTACAATATTTGTCTTTTAGATGTAATGAGGTAAGTCATACCTTTATTATATTTTAAGTACAGTAGTCAAGTAAATGTTATTGTGTCACTTGTACTTGGTGAACCACACATTTATTATTGCCAACAATCCAAATTACCCAATGTTTATCCAGTAATACTGATTAAATGGCAAACGTCTTTTCACACAACTTCTCACATAGCAGACTAAACTATGTTAATTAGCTTGCTTGTTACCTACCCAAAGCATTCAGCCACATCTGTTAGCTAGCAAACACAGTATATGGACTGGACTGGACTGGCCTTGCACTTTACAAACTTTTGTATTAACGTCATGTGGCCCGCTGGCCCTTGCATGGGCCCATCAGTAGGCGCTCAGAGTAAATGCTTAAATTTTTGTCAATACACACAGGCTGTGCGTTATATCGGTTAGAGTCTCTAAAATTCAAAAATTCAGTTCATTTTGAGCTAAACATAAGTACATAACTATGTTAATATCTACAAACATTCTATACCAGTGGAGCGTGGTGACTGCCTACCTTTTAGACGTGTAGAACTCAGATTCTCGCTCCATTTCTTCATTGTTTGTATTCCTTCATAGTCCATAAGGGTCCAGAGGTCACAAAAATTAAAAGGGTTTCTTCATAAAAGTATTCCAGGTTATAAATATCATCATGAGAAGTCCAAAGCAGACGACCAAGTGATTACTTATCTGCCGCTCTTCCCTTATTTCTTCCCCCTTCCCCTGCCCGGCTCCGTCTAGGGCTGTGTTAGCGGGTCTGCTAATGTTTGTTAGCTTTCTGGCTACAAAATGGAGGCCCCCCTGTAGAAATACATCTATGACCCCAGTGCAACAGAACCTAGGGGTCTATGGAGAGCGTCATATCATGCTGCATTCACTTGCACTCGGACATCGGAGTTTCACTCCATCCGATCGGCCACAGCTTTTTATTTATAGACGTTTGAATTAGACTGTCCAAAACTGGGGTGGCAGCTGGGGAAAGAATGTATTTTTAGGAATCGCAGCTGCTACCCTATGCCACCCTGGTAGAACCACCCTTGGGAGTTTGTGTAGACAGAATGAAGGAAGAGTCTGTATTTTTGAAGGAGAGGAAACAGTTGTGACAACGCATAAACAATGAAAAGCCATGAGGCCAGTTCTACCCTTGTATATGTGTGTGTGAGAGAGAGAAACACAGAATTTCAAAAGGAGTGAAGTAACATAATTTTTTATTTCCTCTATACGTGACCACTGTCCTATTTTTTTTATTTCTGGCAGTTTCGTGTCTGATGTGGTGCATATTTATTACACCAGCGATGAGAAGGTGCAGGGAGATGAGGAAATTCAGGCCTTCATTAAAGACGTGTGCAGCTTCGGGATGCAAGACTTCGATCACTGTGGTGAGTACACATTGCAGACCTCCCTTTTGTATAATCTTTCCGTTAACTTTTAACAACAATCAAAATGCAGCAGCTAACCAAGGCGTAACGTTTCCTTTCTCACAGAGAAAAGCGACTCACTCCTCTTCAATATTTCATTAGTCTAGGATTTTCTGGAGAAGACAGGTACACAGTGAACAGACAGCATTACAAATTCAAATTTGTTCTGTCATAGATTAATGGTTTGAGGGTAAAGACAGGAGTCTGATGGTGTCACTGACCGAGCACCACTGTTGTAATAGGTTACACTTCCTGCATTTCACCATGACCTGAGTGCATGGTGCAAAGAGCTTTTACAAAGCAACCATTGCCAAAGAAGACAAGTGGAGTTATGTAAAGATTCAAGCTCTGCCTGTTAACAATCTGTACACAGAGTTTCCCAAGTCTGTGAAATCACGTGAGGAGCTGACAGAGTACCTGACCGTCATTGTGTTCACTGCCTCGTCTCAGCATGCAGCTGTCAACTTTGGACAGGTGAGAAATAGATAAATCTGGTATCTCATAGTCAATATTTATTCAATATATATACATGTATATATATATATATATATATATATATATATATATATATATAAATTACACTTTAATTACACTACACAGATTCTTGTAGATTAGTTGACATGCATTATGTATCAGTGTGCGTGTGCTCTCTTGCACACAGTAGTTGACTGAAATAAAAGTGCCACAACAACTACATATGTTCCACAAGTCCTTTATCCAAAATCCTGCTTAAGTAAAAGCACAGAAGTATTATCAAAAAAAAAAAAATAGGCATATCAAAAGAAACAGTGCTGGTTCTGCGGAAAAATGGGCCTGAGACTGATGTATTATTATATATGACATTATAAGATTCTTAATATTGATGCATCAATGTGCATTTTAAGCACTTTTGTTGCTGGGCGAGGTGGAGTTGGTTTTAACTACTTCATACACAGTTAGGTTTAGTCCAGTGGCCGCCATTAATGGGATGGGAAAGGATAACTGGTACTTGTTGAATAATTCCACCTCCATCCATGAAACCACATGAAAACCCTTCACAAGACAAATAATCTTTAATGATGCATTGGATTTTCTAAATTAATCATGTTTTTATGTAAAATCTTAATCTGTAAAGTAACTACAGCTGTGACAAGTACAGTATTGCATTGCCATTGCTGCATACACATACTGTATCTTTGTCTACATTGTGTAGTATGACTGGTGTTCCTGGATCCCCAACGCTCCTTCTACCATGCGGAGGCCCCCACCCACCCAGAAGGGTGTGACAGATGTGAACTTGATCATCGAGAGCCTCCCTGACCGCGGTCGCTCCAGCTGGCACCTGGGGGCCGTCTGGGCCCTCAGCCAGTACCAGGAGAATGAGGTACAGAAAGGGCACTCGGTGTCGACACACACACATCTCATGCCAGACTGGGTTGTTTTTGAGGACCAGCCAAGACAATCATAAGTTTGGAGCTTCCCTCTGCTATAACATGTCCTTTTTTTCCATGCACTGAATGACCTGCCCCCCTCCCCTCTCTCTCTCTGCAGCTGTACCTGGGCATGTATCCTGATGAGCACTTCATAGAGAAGCCAGTGAAGACGGCCATGGAGAAGTTCAGGAAGCAGCTGGCAGAGATAACCCGCGCCATCAAGAGAAGGAATGAGGGAAAGAAGCTGCCGTACTACAACATGTCCCCTGACAAAATCCCCAACAGTGTCGCTGTTTGAGGAATAAACGTCATGATCATGTCTCCACTTAATATTTTACATTGAGGTTCTGCTGATGTTACTGAGCTGTCAAAACATGCTGTTAGGAAACTCTTGTGTGTGATTTTGATATGACTGTAGATTTAAATCCATGAGTTGACCAAAAACCGAGTTTCCAAACCTCAGCTTTGTTTCTCAGTTGTTTTCTGTCATTTATTCGGGTGGAAATTGGATTAAATTTTATTCCATGGAGGTGCCAATTAAAATGTGTTTTATAGCTGTATAGCTCCTTTGTCAGGAGTCAGAGGCTGTCACCCACTGTGGAAAATAAAAAGTTACATTGCTATACATCTGATCTTACTGATGCAACATTAACCTTTTACCGTCTTTTATCTTTTGTAACAGTGTCACTGTCACTAAGAAATCCTGTTACCTTTACATTTAAATTCAGAACACATGAAAAAGACACAAATCATTAAAAGTAACTTAATTTTTATTTGGTTGTTCTTTTAAACTCTACATACTTTGTTCAAACATGGGAATTAAACTGAAAACACATCAATATTTTTTTTTAAAAACATAAGTACTTTTACCAAATTCTTTACAGTTACTATTCCAAAGTAAATTCACAGACAAACTTGTGGAATGATATCATAAGACAGGGGAACAGTCATATATGTTCAAGTCCAGTCAGTAGTAAACAATTGTAGCTTTATGCAAGTTACACTATTCCCAGACATGATAAAGTGGAAGAGACAGGGTAAAGACAGAAAGATCTAGACTTAAAGGCTGAGAAAGTACCTTTCATTCTCAGTCGATATCCTGCTCAGTAGGATTGAAGGGAAATGAAGAAATCAGTTCATGGTGATAGAGACACTAAGAAATAAAGTGAGAAAGAAAAGCTGCTCTCAGAAACATGCCTGCTTGTAAAAGCGTCCTAAAGCGGCCTCAATCTTCATCAAGACTACATCAAAACTTCTGTCTCAGACTTCATGAAAGGAGCCAGCTCCTATGAGTAGAAAGTAAAAAAAAAAGAAAAAAGAAAAAGCACAATCCACCGTCCATCTTTAATCCTCCATTTTGAAGAAACTGGAAACATCAGAATATTCCATGTTGTTTTATGTGAAAAACAAGTAACATTCAAATGTGATGCTGTGATTAAATGTCTATACTCTGCATATTTAAAACATAATTCAGCAAGCAATTTAAAAAGCAAGAAGAAAGAGCAGATACTCACATTAAGCTTTTTACAACACTAATATCTAAATGACAAACTAAAGTGCAAAACAAAGTGGAAGTGATTTTCTGGTATTTATGCCTGGGAAAAAAAACAAAGTGTAAGTTGCATAAAATTACTAATGAAAGGGTTTTTTTAAATGAACAAATTGTACTCTGTTTTCTTTTAAAAATAAATACAACACAAAAACTTTTTTATACCCAGAGGACATCCTGGACATTAAACACCAGTACATAACTATAGAATAGAATAACAACAAAAGGGTAATTGCACTTTTTATCTGTCTAATTGCACTGAGCCTCGTGGGGTTTGAAGTTTCAGAGAAGCTTCTCATTACTAGGTCTTAATCCAACTTGACACACAACTACTCCCTTGGCTCATATTATGTATTAAAATTGTATTAGACTCCAGATCTCAAGTCACCATGGGGCATATACACAAGTAACACAAGTACGGTATGCACTGTTGCAGAAAACAAAGCGCTGATTTCATTTATTGCTGCTGCTGAGCAGAAACTGTCATGTAGTATGTATGTAGTTGGACCATCATTGTTCACAGACAGTACACTGGTATCAAAGACTTTAAAAATGTGTGTGTTGCTGGAATGGCTGTGAGGCTCAACATGAGCCCGGCATCGCTGTGCTCCCACATACACAAAAGCACTTACAATGACTGTAAGCCCCAAAATACATCGCCCCCAGAAATCAGCTCCTGCCCACCTCAGGCTGCACCTTCAGCTTCACACCAGCAGGTGGCGCTCCAGTCAGCTCATCGATGAGTGATGAGCTGACTGTGTGTCTCACAGGTAGCAAGCATATGGATGTATTGCATTGCTTTTATTGCAAAATAAATGATCTGTTTGTTGATGAATGTAATGACCTACAGTAAAAATGTTACACTGTTGGAGTAATGCAGTGACAGTATTTAAGCTGTGCTTCACTGTGCTTCTATTGAGAAATTAAAAACAAAAAGGTGCTGGAACAACTTGTGTCATTTAAACCACATAAGGCCAGATGTGAAAAAAACGTTCAATCAAATTAGCGGGAACATGCTGGCTGTCTTGTGATTAATACTAAAATAGACATCCTCCACCATGTGAGAGACTCCAGCAAGAAGAAACAAGACACTGAAACTGAGATTTTTGCTCATCCGAAATGCTTGGTAATGATCCTAAATGTCATGTTGAAACATCACATCTGGCACCTTGCACTCTGTGCTAAAGTGTGTTAACATAACTGTGGAGATGGATTGTAAAGTGTGCCTAAAGCTTATTCTGCCAGTGTTTTAATCCAAACTATCTATTTGGAATCAATTAATGCACCGCCTGCACAGTGGGAGTGACAGGAGGTCAGACTGAAAATAGGCAGCTGCAGATTTCCCAAGGCATATCCCATGACTAAGCAAACAAATCAACATATTAAAAACTGCACATATCACACTGTAAATACTGTGTCATTCGCATGATAGAAAAACACGAGCGACTTTGTTTATGCCCAAAGGCTCTTGTTATGGACATGGAAATTATCTCGCAATTTCCTGTGACCAGTAAAAAATGTTGTTTTTTTTTTTTTGTATATTTTATTCATTTTTTAATCATTTTTTAAAAAGTTTACATTCTCAAAGCCTTCAGAAAGTTCATGTTGGGGTAAAGAAGTCATGTGGCTGGATTTTCCATTATCTGCATTAGAGCTACGAGTCTGACATTTCATAGTCAAAACCCATCAACCAAATGTTTCTTTCAGCACGATTCCATTTTTTAACCCCAGTTCCTTTTTTGTCATCCATGGGAGGGTTTATATATATGTATATATGTGTATGAAGAAATGCAATGTCAAATAAAACAGGAAACCAACATTTCCAAGTTTTTTTGAGTGTGCTTTCCCCCATGTTTAACATAGAAGACTTAATTCATAATAGAGAAAAAAAAAAGAAGAGAGGAGCTAGAGAAAGGGAACTAAAAAACAAAAGTGCTTCGATGCATGTCCAGATCAAGGCCTGGTCGGATCCAGACCAGCGCGGACTTGACAGACCACAGCAACAGAGATGGCAGTGGCTGGAATGTTCCAGAGATCCGATGCGCGGCGCTACATACTGATCCACGGAGGGTTAGCCCAAGACTCACAGGATGTAAAAACAAATCTAACAAACCCACAAGCAAACAAACCACGCATCAGAGAAGTGTAAACCCCTGGAGCTGTTTATGAGTCCATTTGTCTCAGTCCTGCTCTCCTAGAGGTGTACATACAAGAGTGTGTGTGTGTGTGTGTGTGTGTGCGCAGAGAGTGGTATGCTCCAGGCCTCTTCAGACATTTACAGAAGTCAGTAAAAACAGTCCAGTCCTAGGGAAGGAAAGAGGCAAGGGTGTGGACTGAGGGTACAGGTCGATGGAAGAATAAGGTCTGATAGGAGGGATGTGGATAGAAGACGTTAGTCGTGGTCTGTCTGTCTCTGTGGGAGGACAAGATGACCAGAAGAAGACAGTGCGTCAGTCTGATGATAACAGGAAGGGGAGCGTCTGGTCGTTCCTCAGTCATGGTGGGCCTAAGTGTGTGTGTGTGTGTGTGGGTCTGTGTGTTTGTGTGTGTGTGTGTGTGTGTGTGTGTAGTATGGGTAGGACAACCAATGGCATGGACTGTTTGGTCAGACATGGAGCACCTCCATACTGTAGTCCTCTGTCTCTGTGTACTGGGAGGAATTTGTGTCCGACTGGGTGGGGGCCAGGGCCTCCTTGTTCTCCAGACTCGGCTCCATGAGAGGGGGCTTCTCCAGCGCCAGCTTTTTACACGTGTCTGGTCGGTTCTGGACGTATATGACCCGGTTGTAAGCCTTGAGTCTCCTCCATAGATGGATGTAGACTTTGCACTGGACGTACATGAACACCAGTCCACCCGTAAAGCCGATGGCCACGACCACCAGCTTGGTCCAGAAAGGCCATTCCAGGATCCCTGAGGTACAGAGAACAGACATAAAAGAAACGTGCTCAAATCAAACACAGACCAGACTATGAAAAAAGAAACACTGCAAAATAAAATGTCTACGGTCTAGTGCATGTACTATATGTATAGTCTTGAGGTTCAGCAGGTCACAAAGTCAAAATGCAGAAGCACAAAAACAGGAGGGAAAAGAATGGCGTGATAGTTTAACAGGTATTTCAGTCAATCATTCACCAGATCAACCTTGAACTACAATATGCTTTAACAAGGAAGGTATGCGGTTGGGGAAACTATCATACAATGCAGTATACATGTTGTATGTAAGACAAACGGACAGGAAAGCATCACAATGTGCTGTATATTTTCAAAGAAGCAGGCTAATGTTCAAGGGCCACATTGATGTTTTTGAAAAGCATGTACTATATGTGCCATATACTCTATATCTACAATCTGATATAGAATTACATATACCACATTTCTAATGCAGTGCAGACTTTTCAAATCAGTCTGCACTTACTCCAGAAAAATAAACACCATCAAGACAGATATTGTGTTCATTTTGCAATTATCTAACCCAAGCAGGTTTAAAGTTTTGATTTTGATACTGTAGCAACATGACTAGAAACAAATGGGGGCAGCCTGGTGGCCTAAGGGGTCAGGCACTGACTATGAAACTTTCCCGAGTCGTGTTCAGCCAGGGACCTTTGTTGCATGTCATGTCATTCTCTCCTCTCATTTCCTGTCAGATCTCCAATGCCACCTTCAAATTAAGGCACAAAATGCCTCCAAAATAATAATATATAACAAAAAGAAACAAACTGCTTGAGAAGTGGGAGCAACAACACTAAAATAAACTAAAACACCACAGCAGGCATTCAAAAATGATTAGCAGTAATGTGCACTATGAATTAAAGTAATTTGCTTAACTGTGCAAAAACATTTGTATGGCCCCTGAGGCGGTTGCAACATTTCTGCAAATTGCTAACCCCTGAAATATAAGGCTCCAAGCAAGAAGAAATATAAATATTTGTAACAAGCTGCAACATCATCCAAAACAAAAAAGCTGGGACAGAAAAGGGATCTTCAAAAACAAAATCAAAAAAATAAAATCTGTCTTCTTTGGAAATATACAGCTGACCTGCAACCCATCAGTCTTTTCATGTGGGCTATTAAATGTCAGGTGTATGGAAGAAAAGTTTAGATCCTAAATCCTATTTTGATGATAAATGTATGGAATGAAATGCAAAAATGCCTCATATTATGGGAGGAACCTATTCAAACAAGGCAAACATAATCATCTTGGTATTAACTATGCTTATAATGGACAGCAATATCAGGTGATTTCTATACTGTATCAGCCTATTGACTAACTAAATTTGAGATCAATACCTGAGGTGAATCTTTTTGCTGGAGTGCGGCCTTCCTTTATGACTTGGTTCTGGGGGATATAGGCACTTCTTGTTTTAAAGGCAGAGCAGCTGGCTGAACCAGTGCACCTATTTCTTCTCATGAGCTCAATATGTCAGTGAAGTTTGGTCTAATCAAGCCACAAAGTATAAAAAATAAAATAGTGTGTTCCTTGATACCGTGTCTGTCTGCGTTCATTAGGTTGGAACATTCAGTGAGGTAGTGAGAATATAACCAGCCTGGTAAAGAAGTATTATTTCTATCTTGAAATCAAGGCAGAAAGGGGAAGGAAAGTGGTGTAAAGTGCAGTTGGAAAAGAACTGGATACGGCTGACAGAAAGGCTGACAAGGAAAACACAATTTGAAAGTCAAAAGGTCAAACTTGAAATGTTTACCTGGGATTCTTCCGGCTGCATGAGTAAAGAGAGTGTAAGTATCATGTATTACCAAGGACACAAACAGATTGATAGAAAATGGTAAAGCCAGAAATTTATAGTGAAGTCAAATATTACAGTTGCACACTTTAGGATGTAATTCATCATGCAATCATACACATTAAATCTGCTTCACAAATCACAGTAGACAATAAAATACATTTCAAGGTGTATTACATCTAATCTGCTGTAATCTGCAAACAATGTGAGAGAAAAGACAACTGTGGTTCTGTGCGACTTGGCAGAGGACAGCCAGTTCTGGTGAGGAAATATTTGGCATCACCATGGTGATTGAACCTGAAAGGCCTCAGGGACTTTAACAAGTCTGAATCATCAGGTTGGGCTAAACAGGCACAGCCTGCTCTTCCATCTGCACACTGTCTCAGAAGCACCAAATACGCCAGAGAGGAATGAGTGGCAGCAGACGACATGCCACCGGATGTTACAAAAAGCTCATCATTAAGACTGCTTTCTCCATTTTTAGCCCTGATGGTGAGAGCACAGCGCTCTGAGGATGGTGGCGTCAGTCTTTCCATAACTACATGCTTCCGACCCCTTTGGTCAGGATGGCAGCACAGGCTCAAGGGGCCACTAAAGGGGTCTTTAAACCCTAAGTCTTGTTTTTTTACTCTTACTCTGATGTTTTAAAAAGATCATAATGCCTTGCTGACTGCTTGCTGGACTATTGCCTGTAGCTTTTACAGCCCATGGTTGGCAGATTGGCACAAACAAACATATAATATTTTTAAAAACAAGTGCCCACAAATTCCTTAAAGGGATAGTTTGTCATTTTTGGGAAATACGTTTAAGACCCCAGAAAGTGACTGAGCCCTGCCAGGAAATAGTCTGACACATCCCTGGTAAAACCACACTGTTTTTACACTTTGGTACAAAAAACTAGATATAATGTGTTAATTAGTAAGCTTTAGTGGTGCTGGCAGGGCCATTTGAATACATTTTGAACAGAGGCAGTCCAGCTGTTTCCAGTCTTTATGCTAAGCTAAGCTAACAAGCTGCTGGCTTTATGTTTAGTATGAGGCTGTACCAATCTTCTCATCTAGCTTTCAGAAAGAAAGAAAACATACGCTTCACAGAAATTAAATGTTATCAACGTGTGTTTAGACATTTATCTTTTATCTGCTGATAACCCACACACACACTAATAAAAACACGTATTTTATCTTTGTGAGGACCTTTTGTTTTTGACTACATTCTTCACTATAACAATAAGAATAGCCATGAACTGACCACCATTTTAATTCGCAGCACACACAAATACGAAACCTGATCTAACCTCATGTAATAAGTGAGAATGAACCCAGGTCACCTCACTTTGCAATAATAACCTCTGAGAATTTCAGTCTAAAACTGGATCTGAGGCTGATAAAAGAATATATCTGTTTTATAAATCTCCTTTCTTCTTTTCTTTTATCTCTTAACTTTCTCTTTTATGGACGTCAGATCTAAAATCAAAGAGAACTGAACTGAACTGAAACTCGCAGACAAAAAAACCTTCTACACATTTGTTCGTTCTCAGCCGTGACTTTGATGCCCACTGAGCTTCTGCAAGTGAATTACGCCCCCACATATATTCCAATCTTAGAGAACATTTCACACTGTTCACACTCACTACTCGCAGCACTGAAATAACACTACAGTTATGCAGATTTGTCGTTAAATACTGTGCATGAATGACTTGGGGACGGTGGTGGATTGTGGATGAATGGATGAACATAAAACTACATCTAACACCGGACAATGTTATGTTATGTTATGTTATGTTAATTCTTATGTGTATGTTTGTGTGTCTGAGTCTGTGCTGACCTTGTCTGATTTCATCCGCCGTTCTGTCGATGAGAACGTAGAGCGACCACACCACGCAGGTGATGGCGATGACGTGGAAGGTGACCGAGCACATGATCTTCCTTCTCTCGCTCGCCGTCATCTGTAGTTTCTCCCACTGCAGCAGACAGGACAAAGGAAGGACATTCAAAAAAGGTCAAAAGAGGAACACAATGCATTTCACACAGAGAAAAACAAAAGCTTTCAAACACAAACTTAACACTTTAACTGTTGGCTGTCTCGGCTGTTTTCTGGAGCAGCTCAGAGTGTGAGCTAAATATTTTATGGTGAGCAGTCAGCTACTGTGATCAAGATCCAATGCTACATAAAGCTTCTTGGCAGGGTGAGTAGGATAGAAAAGAAAAGTGGCATACAGCACTGAGCACAAAGGCCAGCTACCCTGCTGCCTGCCAGCCAGCTCAGTTAACACACTGTAGCACCTTGTCTGTCACTGGCTGCACAATACATCAGGAAATGAGCCCAGCGATTCAAGGAAAACACAAAATACAATATCAGCATACAAGTTGTGTAGACTCTCCCAGCATCCAAATGCATTACTCACATATTCATTGTTGAAATGGCAAGATTGCAGGGTCACTTTGACAAGAAGCGAGTATGAGATCAATCCAAGCATCCTTTGATAAACACTTCATACCAAGACCGTCATCCTCATCTCATCTCGAATTTCTCTGTGCGCCCACTCAAGAGCAACTTCAATGTTCACCATTGGGATTCAGAGGCCATTAACAGCGGAGCATTTGTTTAAGGCCTTTTGTGCAGCTAATGAAGGGTGGAGAAATTTTAATTAGAGTGTCCTGCTATCTTCAGGCCACAGTGATTGATAAGAGCCTTTAATGGAAGTGTTCTGCCTCTAAAAAGTTCCGCTTATGAAAACGGCTTCAAAGCTCAGTGTCAGGCTTGTGTTATCTGCGTGACAAATTTGAGACAGCTTTTGCCATTTTCAGCTTCATAACAAAGGAGTCTTAATTTATTAACTGAGACTGAACTAACAAATATGAGAATTAATTGACTTTACGTCCCACTTCATACAAACATGTACACATACAAACTATGTCTTACCTTGCGCAGCGGTTTGAGCTTGGTCTCCATGATGAACTCATATTTACAGAGCTCACAGCAGCGAGTGTCAGAGCTCTTGATCCACTGCTGTAGACAGGCCTGGTGGACAAACCGCAGGCTCCCCGTGCAGTGGCATGGTGTGATCAGAGGACTCTCGTCATCCCCTTCACAGTGACAAATCCTACGGGAGCCAAAGAATACAGTCAACACTAAGCTAAAGGCAAGACAGCTGTAACAGAAGGAAGACAGGGGGGGAGGAAAGATCAAAAAGAGAAAAGTTGGCAGGCAAAGCTGACGGATATTTCACCAAACTCGAGCAAACTTGAATTTTGGAGGATATATGTCGGCGAACTTGTAGCGTTCTCTAGTAGTACGTATAATAGGACAAGGTGTTTAGAAAATGCTCATACCCAGATACAGATATGCCATAGATATATAGATATGAAACACAGTTAGGTGGAATATAATTTCCCAAATATAAAAGAATATTAACACCCTGAACACAGATTCAATACATGTCCCACATAAATAAACCCTATCAAGACAAACTAATTTGATTAAATGCACTTCATTTGCAAATCAAGATGACATTTTCAGAGAATAATCTTCTGTGTTCTTGCAACGTAGAAGTGCAAAATTGAACACAGAAAATCTAACCTCAGATACCCTGCAGTTGGGGCAGCAGCAATCTTAGTTTTGGTGTTGGAATAACTGACACATTTATAAGTTGCCTGTAATGATCAGCATTTTAGGTTGACAAATACAGGAAGAGCAGACTATGTAATCAACAGCGTTGTGCATACAGTTTCTCAACACTGTTTTTTTTATCAGATGAACTCAACTGCCCCTTCATCAACACCACTGTTCATGTTACAAATGTGTTTTGTTTTGTTGTCGCAACTTTTTAAAGCTTCTGTTATTTGTTGAAATGCTACTGCATGCAACTGTATTCAGTCTGACAGGTGTATGCAATATTGTGTTCAGCCCCTGTAGATGCTTGCAGAGTCTTCTGTAAGGTATTCTGGGCACAGATAGCAACAACTGGAACATTTGATTAGGTGTGTGCAACCTCTAAAGACTGCTGGACAGGTTTTTCTCAGTAAGAGGAACAAATCAGATCTTTTAATATCAGACCGGAGCGGTCCCCCTCTCGTCCTTAAGATTACATAAATCGGACACTATCTGACAGGCTGGAGGACGGCAGCTATTAATCAGCCCACACTAAGAAGGAGTGTATTTGTCTCAGTCTGCCTGTTCAGTGTAAGTGAGAGTCTGTCTGTTCAACTGCTGCTGAGACAGATTGTGTGAGAATCCAGACTATGTACACACTTACACCAGTAAGTCAGTCAGAGTCTGCCACAGCAGTGAAATTCAAAATGAAGGGTTGGAAAACGTTATTATTGCAACTTATTGCCTCTAAGTTAAGTCAATATCACACGCACACACCCTACATGGAGGAAGAGGAAGCTAAAGTCATTATGATCTCAGAATTCAAAAGTCAGGACGTTGACCTTGTTGTGACTGTTCAGACCAGGACAGAGTGCTCAGTAAATGAGGAATAAGCCCAAAAATCAGCTGCTGCTTGTTCCACCACAACACAATTTTAATTAAAGGTCAGCCTAATGTCTCTGGCTAGACTAACAGAGCAATTGTAAAGGGAGGAAAATCTGCTATAGTGTAGGATAGAATGCATGCACATTTTCCTGCAGAGCCTTCATAGATAAATGAAGCAGCTATACTTCAAACTCACTTTTTCTACCAATTTCTATCAGCGGATGCATAAACTAGCAAAGACTTCTACTATGTTTTCCCCAGAGTGAGTTGCAGAGTGCAGTGGCACCTCTCTCTGGGGAAGAAGAAACAAGTAAACAAAAGCATGGAAAGAGGGAAGAGAGGGGGAAGAGAGCAGGTTTTTTTTTTATCAAACGGGACTGGTTCAGGGGAGGATAAGAACACATGAAGACACACATGCACACCCACATGTGCCCCCACACATTAGAAAGTGAGCGAGCAAGATAACGTCTATTTCCAGACTCTACTGATCTGGCCAAAGCGTTACAAGATTAAAAGACAAAGTGAACGAAGGAGGATAAAAATAGGTCATTTCTACGGATTTCTCAAACAGAGGAGGAGGAGGAGGGAGTGCAATGAGGACTGAGGGATTAAAGGATAGACGAGGCATAATTAACATCTCTAGAAGAGGCTTTTTTTCCTGTTGGTTATGGCCTGGCTGCTTTGTTTGTGTTTGTTTGCATGGATTGCAAGATGAACTGCAGATTTTCATCCCACACATACTGTATTCCTATTTCAATTAAAAAAAAAAAAAAAAAAAAAAAAAAAAAAAAAAGAATCAGCCTAAGGACTTGGACTCTCTTTTGGTGCTCATATCAAAGGCTGGTCAGATTTAACAAATTATTCTAATGTTTATGTGGATTCTTTATAAGCGTAGGAGGGGATAACCGTAGCAAAATCCCTACACCTCTACATGGAGCCACGGTGGAAATAAAATGATCAGTAAGCAGCATGAGTGGAATCGTCTGTTCTTCTGTCAAGAAATGTAGGTTTTTGCATTGGCTGCTAGAAACAACCTGGATTGTATATAGTGCTTCAAAATGCACCATGAAGATTGAAATCTCACAAATGGAGAACAAGCACAGAGAACTCAGTTTTGTCATTCAGACATATGAACATAATAATTTTGCAGATTTACAGCTAAATTATCTGTATCTGTGTCAGCAGCAGCACGTTCCAAGCACCGTTAGGCATGGGAGGGAAGTTAAAATTTAATTTGCATCACTTGAGCAGCCAAAACACTCCCGGTTTAACAGTAATTTTAAGATGGCAGATGCACCGTTAGAGTATGTCAACATTAAAATGTGAGAAGCAAAACAGAGTTGGGAAATCACAAGCACCACAAGCTGAAAGGGAAACAAGCTCGGCAGTATTACAGCCCTGGCATTCGCTTTCTTCCTGTTCTCACTTGTCTGTTTCCTGGTACTTTTTCTCCTGTGGCATTCAGATGATCTTTGCACTCCACTCTCTCAGTGTGTCGCTTTAACATCCCCTCCCTCCAGCTACTCCTTGTTCTGCCCTCATCCTGAAATGTTTATATATTAATTCTCAAATGAATTTTTTAACACCAATCTGTTTTTTTCTTTCTTCTGCTAAACAGATTTTCATTGGGGTGGTATGGGGCAGAGTGTGACATCTGAGGCATTTTGTTCTCTCCTGTTCTCAGCCTGTTTTCAGTCTCAACAGTTTAAGCTCTACACTCTAGCAGAGACACGCTGATCATAGAAAAACACAATTGAATTAGCAGCAGCACCACTAGGAGCCATCTACCTATTTCCTCTTTTCGCCTCTCTACACGTCTTAAGAGGTTACTTGTCTCTCTTTGTGGGCCCATGCTTGCCTTGAAAGAGAATATTAAATTTCCTAAGAAGAAGCTTATCTTTCGGAGGAAGGTTAAGGAATTACACAGACTCTAGCTGGTTTGTATTACAGATGTAAAAGCTTAAAAGGTACCCTATGGAGGTTTTGAATACCAGAAGCTCTTTGGAGACATGTTTTTGCTGGTCCTCAACTAGTACGTGCATGAGAATGACAGAGGGCGATATTGCAAAATGTCTAAGAGTGTGCAAGCCATAAAAACACAAAGAAGAGGAGAAGAGATGAATCAAAAACTGGAGACGGCGTAAAGGCAGTCAAAACAAAGAAACGTATGACTGAATGTAATAACTGGCATTTACTTCAAAGAAAGAGTTAAATGATGTGTTTATACGCCTCTCTGCTGATCATCAGATGCAGGCAGTAATGTGTCAAGTTACAGAACAAAGCACCGTGTAAAAGGTAGGTAAGAAGATAACTACTAGCTGAGGTAAATACAAGCTTTTTAAATAATCATAGAAATCAGCTTTGGAACTATTTTATGAGAAAGTTAATGCATTCAATATGTTTGCTAGGGTACCCACAATGCATTTTGAGTAGGAACACTTAATGCTAATATAACTCTATTTTTTTCCTCTAAGGTTTTTCTAAAAGGTGACATTTCTGATTAGGAAATAGTCTAAGTCTCCTCTTATCAGACTTCCAACTGTTATGTTTTGAAATGTTGTCAATAAAAGAGCTGGCTAATAATTAACGCTCTATTTGTCTGTGGAAAACACCCACACACCCACACACATGCATTTTTACAGGTGAGGTCAGCCTTTGCTTTGAGCTCACGTTTTAAGCCACCTGACAGAAAGCTGGCATGATGTGTTTGTGTGAATGTGTGTGCAGTCAGAGACTATGCAAACTATTTGAAGCCAATAATCTCCCTCCTGATCTCCGGCTTTCACCTCGCCAATTCTGAGGTCATGTTTCTCTACCAGCCCACAGCTGACGTATAAGACGTCTAATCTGAGACACAGTACATACACAGACCACAGCTGAGGGGGCATCAAAGACAGACCTATATGATTGATGATGATGATTTTTTTTTTTGTGTGTTTTAGACTCAACTCTCATCAATCCAGTGAACTGCTCCCAGGCAGAGTATTGACACAGATACTGTGACCCAGAGGGGCTCAATATTCCTTTCCTTGGCAACTTACCGCTAGCAAACCTCATGTGTAGGGGCCACACAGCCATGACCTGGTCGGTAATCAAATATTACTCAGTCTGTCCCTCCTACCACGGCCAAGCAGATTGTAGAAAAACTGTCATGGGAAAAAGACTGATGACAGCCCAGTTGACCCAATCAGACAGATGCCATAGGTTCAAAACCATTTATTGTACCCGGTGTGTCTCTGTTCCACTATTTATCAGACAGACACGCACTCCATTCCTCAATACTATTAAATTCTCTAGCCTAACCTCTGCTCCTCTATATTTTCCTTAACATTGCCATTGCCCCTGTTCCTGCCTTTACTACAAAGCATGAAGCTTATGGGCAAAATCAATCACAAATTTCAGCAGCCCATGTAAGACACTTTAAGGCCTCATCGATCTTTTAACGGTGAAATATTATTTAAAAAACTCGTCTTGACAGCACAGTGAAAAAAATGGCAGAGCACTGAGCTAACAGTGAAACGAAATGAAATGGTATGAAATGAAATGAAGCCACATTTTTGCTCTAGACACACACACACACACAAGGGGTTGAATCAGGACAGCTGAGGGTGAGGGTGTTGCAGTGTGTGTGTAGACTAAAGCGTCTATGTGTCAGGTTCTTCTGATTAACAGGTCCACTCCGGGCGGGGGTTTTGAGGACAAATGCAGCTGAATGCTGGGTAGTTACACTACAGGATGAGAAGCTCTCCACTACTCCACAGGGCTCTGGGGTTCACTGCCACGTTAACGGCACAGGGGTGGTCTGGGCTCTACCAAGTCACAGTAAGGGTGGGTGTAGATTACACCATCCAGACAGTCACCCACCTGCAGCAGTCCCCAGATAGCGAATAGGGTGACAGTGGCCCAGTTTTCTCTGACAAAGGGGATGGGCAGCAGTCCAAGTCGCTGTCCTCATCCATATAGCACAGGGGGGCTAGAAGAGCGCCTGGCCCAACCACGGTGACTGTATCTGGGGTTGCCAGCTGGCCCGTTCCCTTTGTGGCTGGACTGGACCGGTCCTCCTCAAACACGTCATCATCTCCCAGTAGATCCTCAGGGGGGAACCCTGACTCGCTGCCTTCCAGCAGGGCACTAGAGGACTTGGTGATGTGGAGGTGAGAGGCATAGCTGCCCAGCTCAGAGCACTGCAGGCTGGCCGAGGTAGAGGATCGAGAGAAGGGGAGGAGGAGACGGAGGAAATTGGCGCTTGGGGAGGGATGTTGGTGGAGGTGGGTGTTGGAAAGAGGAGGAGGAGGGGCAATGACAGAAGGGTCAGATGGAAAACAATTGGCGGGAGGAACGCTCAACATGTACTTATAGTTGTTGGTGAAGGATGGGACGAGGTGGGGGTGGGTGCGTGTTGAGAAGGTTGGATTTGGGTGCTGGTGTGCGGGTGCTGTAGCCGCAGCCAGCTTGCCATTGAGTGTGTGCGCCCTTCGATCCAAGCAGGGCGGCTGAGCAGGCTCAGGCTTCAGCTCCAGCTCTCCCTCGGAGCAGGTGCGATCTATGAAGTGCAGGCCACGACAGAGACTGTCCACGCGCTGGCCCACGTCATTCAGAGACACAGAAAACCTGAGCGAGCCGTTAGGTTGGATGTTGACGGAGGATGGGCGGAGCAGAGAGAGCCAGTCTCGTTGTTTAGTGTGTTTGGAGGCTGGTGGGGCGTCTGTGCAGAAGGTGGTCACTGAAATACCTCCTGAGCCTTGACGGGTTTTACCATTAGAATTCAACAGAACCACTGCAGTCTGCTTCTGACAGTCCTGATGCTGACTGCTGGTGTCAAAGTGTTTGTGCATGTGTATTTATGAGAGGAACATGTGAGAAACGACAGTGGTGAAGGACAGCAGGAGAAGGAGCGGGGAAAGGGCAAAAAAGAGAAATGGAAAAGACATCATGCATTTGAAATCAAAGGAATCTGGATAAAAGGAGATAAAAGGTTTTGGAGGCTCTGCCTGAAAATACCAGACAAGACTAGACGACCCATGTTACAATCACATCCATTTTACAGCAGGTTACACGCAACCAGGGCTACTCCACACACTGCCACTGTGTTGTTCAAAGGTAAAGGGTAAATCAACACCCCCCACTGGTAAGGCTCTTAACCAGTAATGGACTGCTAAATAGATCAAATTTATTGTCCTCAGGTGTTCACATCACTCAGTGGCAGTAAGAGTGAAATGAAGCTGAAGTGGTTTGTACCTGCAGATGTCCTGGCTGGAGGGGGATACTGATGTCCTCGAGAAACTGCATGGAGCGTTGACGGAAGTCGGGCTCCCCGCCTGAGGAACAAAACAAATGCACAAAACAAGGCAGTTTAGGATAGACAATACAATAATGAGATGTCTTAGTGAAACCTTCAGGCAAAATAACTACTGTATTATTCAACAAACAGGATCAAATCATATCGCTGCCAGGAAAGATCCAGTGTGGTGAGAATTATCGGGCTGTCAGCACTGGAATCTGATCCTTACAGAAAGAGTAAAAACACGTCACACACTGATGCACAGGGTGATAAAAAGGGAAACCACAATACTGGCAGTTAATCTATCTGATTAAAGTAGTGCCAGGCAAAATCTGTCTCAGTGCGTCACGGAGCAGGAAAAACACGACGCTGCCACAAAGTGAGGGAGGCAGACTGCGAGACAGAGGGAGAGTTATAAAGAATGAGGTGCCGAGAAAAGCACAGGTGGGGCTGGAGGCTGTGGAGCCTCCACAGAGAATTTTTAAACAGGTGCACCTGCAGGTACAAGGCTATTAAAAAAAATACCCGCAGTATTATTCATTGTAGCTTTCACCGATTGGTGAGGACTACTTAAAATGGTCTTGAATTTCAAAAGGAAACTTCTGGTTCATTACCATTTGAGTTTATTTAAGAAGTTGTGGCCATAATTTTTACTGACTATAATCACATGTCACTGAGCATATTTACTGCTGAGATCTAGGAACACGACTACTACTACAAAGTCCGATGAGGTAAGAAACACGAGCGGTCAGACAATCAGACAGGCTGTAAACACACCAACAGTTTGGCTGGATTATCCACTTTATTTGGAAGAAAATAAACGAAAGTGAGAATACATGAAATGTCAGTGATAAAGTTGCCTTCAGGCAAAGTCGGCAGAATGTGAAGAATAAGAAAATCATTTACAAGTTATTCCAACTTAGTACTGTTCATACATTATTCTAAGCTGGTTCTAGCCTTGTAGTCACATCACTTAAATACTCAATAATTGCTACTTCTGCTGTGTTACAAATTTGGAGTTGTTCATTAACACATGCAATGAGATACAAACTCCAAGGCTCCTTTTCAATTAGCTGAATCAATTGTATTAGTGTTAATATTGGATTTTAATTGGATGTAACTGCCAGCAACGGTGGCTTTTCAGACTTTTTTCTCGATGATTTGTTGTCATTTGTGTAGTTGTTATTATAGAGAGGGAGATATTGTTGCTGTAAGAAAATCCTGATATCACCAACTTGGAGATTGACATGAACGTTTTTTCTCCAGTCAGCCTGAAACTGACTATAACTGTGAAAATGTCTGACTGTATGATCATCTGGCTCACTTCTCTTTAGCAATGTTGCCCAATTCCACATCTCAGCATTTAACATAGTTCATACACTGGTATCATCACCCATGGGAATGATGGCCAAAACTACAAAAACTAGACTGTTACATCCTTTAAAAGAAATAGTTTGACCTTGTAGGAAATTTGGAAAAGGCTACAGCCAGCAGCAGGTTAACAGTGACTTCCTGGAGTCACACACATGGTGGCAACAAGACTCCATTATGTTTTTAACCTTTGGACAGAGCCAGGCTAGCTGTTGCCCTTTGTTTACAGCAGTTATGCTAAGATAAGCTAACCGTCATCTGGTTCCAGTTTCATATTTGCTGTAAAAACATGAAAGTGGTATCAATCTTCTCACTTAACTCGCAACAAGAAAGTGAACACGAATATTTCCTAAATGTCGGACTATCCCCTCAACACAGCGTCCCGGGGCTCTTACACAGTGACTGCCACAGACTGGGCAGGGAACATAAAGAACAGGATCAGATAGTGTTTGGGTTGCTAACCTAAAGACACAGGGGTTCTGGCAATTTCAACGAGAAACTAATTACCTATTGATTTCATTTCTAACTAAGGGGAAATTTATAGCTCATCGCCTGACACTGGTCGATAGGAAATTCAATGCTCAGCTTTGTCCTTCAGCCTGTTTTTCTGACTGTACATGAGCAGCACGATCCTCTTTAACTGGCTTTTTTCAGACATGCTCTCCCTCTCTTTTGTATTGTTGTTATTTAATAGTTAATTTTAGGTTGCATTTTCACCAGCTTATTTGATTTCTCTAAAATATTCCATTTCATTTACTTATTCTAATAGTTCACATTCAAGCGTGCTGCTTGGTGCTCCTGCAGGAAAATGAACAGACAGCTCTGAGAAGTGGCTGAGAAACAAAAAGATCACATCAAAGCAATAAAACATTATTATTTTGCTGCTAGCTCTGCTGTATATTTATCTATGTAGGTGGAACATGCTGCTTCAGCGTTACACTTACAGAACAATAACCACAAACAAGAAACTGATGACATATGCCGAGTTAAAGCCTTGTGTGACTGAATTCTGACTGCAGACTGATAAAAAAAGAGGTGGATCATAATTGCACTGATGACTCTGGGTGGTAATCTTTATACCTTATTTTATTCTAGGTGTGTGTAAATATAATGTTCCTATACCATCTTGCCTGTTAATCATTCATATTGCCATCTGGCAACAGATACGAACAAACTGTCACTGTCAAACAGTCAAATAACAGGGTGATAACACAGTTGAAATAGTAATGATTAACTTCCCAACAGTGCATATGACTCTTCAGATTTCTATTCTGCTCTCACAGCTGCCCTCTCCTGTGACGAGGACCTTTGATGAGTAAATGAGTGGCTGCGTTTAATGGATAACCACAACACTGCAAGCGATGATATTTCAACAACTGGTGATAAATTGTGTTAGATGGCTTCGATACTTGCCACCTTTTACTTTCGAAACTGTAAACTGTGTAAAGAAGCATACTGTGAGGTGTTAATTAGATAAAATCCAGCCTCACATCATATTCTCACTGTAATGAACACCTGTTTATTGTGCTAGGTGAAACAGTTTCCCAGTATATTATCATAACTACTCATTTAACCTCTCTCCTTGAGGACTCCCACCCTCCACACGCATCCTTCATCCATGCATAAATTACTCTCTTTCCTGCTTGTTATACCTTCTCTTATTCCTCTAACACACCTCACATCTGCTATTACTTCAGCCTCCATTCTTCTTTTACCGTCCCTACCTGGAGAGAAGTACAGCTCTCATTTTCTAGTCACAGGGGCCTTTCAAAGAATAACCTTCAAGGAACAATGAATCACTGTCCCCCAGTGTGACACTTCTAACAAGCTGGACACATGTGAATGGGCCAGGTGTTGACAAGATGCTAACAGAAAGGCAACACAGAAAATAAGCACAACAGGTTATTATTAACCTTTAAAACAGTACAAAACAATCCCAAGATGTCACATCATCAATATTACTTCCACAAACAATCAAACAATCCACTTACCAGCGTTCCCCCTAGCTTTCAACCATATCACATGGTCTTCATCAATGGACAGAGTTTGCTCAGTTGTGATGGAGGTCAAACTGTTGACATGAATGAGGTAGGCCATGTGATACAGTGCAAAGGAAAGTAAGAAGGCCTTGAGTTGGGACTGTTTTGTCAAAACGACTGTTTCCAAAATCAAAAATGCAATTTAAAGGAATAGTTTGGCAAAAAGCTTTATTTACTTTTTTGCCAAAGGTTAAATGGGAAAGATCAACACCACTCAACAGCTGGTTAGCTTAGCATAAAGACTAGAAACAGGGGTAAAAGCTAGCTTGGCTCACACAACCCCTGGGCTAGCTGTTTCCTCTTGTTACCAGTCTTTATGCTAAGATAACCGTCTGCTGGCTGTAGCTTCATTTTTAATGGACAGATATGAGCGGCATCTTCTCATGTAACTCTCAGCAACAAAATGTATATCTTTCCCAAAATGTCAAACATTTCTTTTAATACTTAACTTTTAAGCCTATATAGAGTGTGAGTCCTTAATAATAATAATCTACTATTAGTGAAATCGTAACAGATACTGAGCTCACGTGTGAACAGATTCATCTTCAAGACAACTGAGCAAATTGGTGAAGACCACTGATACCAGATAAATCTCCTAAGTGGACCTGAAGTTGTTAAAAGATGAAAGGATTTTGTGCTTAATGTAACAAATTTGTTCTAAACTAAGATTTAAGTGACATAAAAGTGACTGATGAAGATTTGAAGTTATTCCACTTGACTTCTGGCTGCCTGAACAGGGATTATATTGTTTGTCTGTATGATCTTTCCATTGATTCACTGGAGACTAAGAATATGTATCCATCTATAAACTTGGCGCAGGGTTAATCTGAGTTAGGGTGTATTAATGCTGAGATGTTTTTTCAAGCATTATGCAACAGCCTTGTGCAAACGTATGATAAATCAAATCTTTAATAAGCAAGTTCTTTTATTATTCAACTGCAATCGCAGTTTTTTTTTCTCCCTCTAGATGACTCATTTTCATTTTAAGTTTCTCCCCAGCTCTCACAAGGTCACACTTCAATCAAAAGTGAGGATCCCAGGTATATACAGTTAGTGTCACGTCATTATAAGCCAAGTGCAGGCTGTGCTGATAATGTATATCACACTACATTCCAGCAGCATTTCAATGCAACTGCATCATGGCTCAAGGATATTCAAACTGTCACCATCTGTAAGAGACTTACAACAAAAGAGGAAGGGGTTAGATGGGTCAAGAGGAAAGGCTAGTTTTTATGATTATAGACTGGTAAAGTATACAATCACTATATATCAATAGAGCTGTGTCAAGTATGAAGCAGGAGCAAATCGCTGCAAAATTCAGTCACAGACCTAATCTCTTCTTCTGACACCAAGCAAGTGCAGAAAATCCACTGTCAGCTTAGATGCTATTTTTCATAAGCTACTCTAAGAAAAAGTCAAACACTTTTTTTTTTATTGAGAAACTACAAGCACATTGGCGCCGGGGTGATTTGGGAGCAGCAGATTTTGCAGAACGCCAAAGGAAAGCTGGTTGATTTGACCGGCCAATCATTTCTCTGGCACTTTGGACTATATTAAATCATGCCAATCTACATGCTTCAATGGGATCTCATGTTGGCTGGCAGAAACTGGCAATCAGTACAATTCCTTCAACTTCAACAGGCTTTGAAGAAGAGAAAATACAATTTAAAATAATTTTATTATTACTTAACCCAACTTCATGGGTTGTTATTTATTGAGATATTCAACATTTAAAGTAACTGTCCTCTACTCTCACAAGGCAGTTTCTGTTTACAGGAAAACAGATGATTATCAGCGATACAAAGAGAAGATCGTAAACAATACTGTAAATACTTCATGGAAATGGACTGTTGATTTGAAGGGAGTGGTGCCGTGTTCATGTCATATGAGACGCATGGTAGAGATGGTAGATATTCCCATCGAGCGGATAACTGATGATGATAACACAGCTGGCTGATAACATTCGACACTGATATGTTAATATAATATTTTTTTGACCAGTACAATAGCACTTTGGACACAGATGATTTGGTCTTTTAAGAGCTCTGTTTGTTTGATACTTAAGTGTTTGTTGGAATTCTGTAATAGCTTTAGAGCTGACATGATTATTTGATTAATCCTTTAGTAGATCAACAGAAAATTTGATAATTGACTTATCTTTTCAGTCACTTATAAGAAATCTTTTGAGCAAAACTGCTGAACATTTTCTTGTGCTAGCTCCTCCAGTGCGAGGACTTGCTGCTTTTCTCTGTTACATATGGTAGAAAACTGAATATCTTTGGGTTTTGGATGTTGGTCAGACTAAATAAGCAATTTGAAGATATTATCTTGAGCTCTGAGAATATATAATGGCTATAAGTATTTCACTGCTTTCTGATGTTTTTCAGAAAAACAATCAAACAAACAAAAATAATCATTATAGTTGCAGCCCTAAATAGTGAGCATGACCCACTATTGTAGCAGTGATTGTGTGATTGGGCTGTCATTTTACAACTTTGCAGACAAATAAACAATAATGGCACTTTCCACCAAAAGCATTTTGTAATGAAATCATTTAAGTCTGGTTTCTCCGAGGAAGGGAGCCAGCTTCAGCTTCAGCAGCAGAAAATGAGCAATGCTGCCAGACTGAGCAATTCAGCATAGAAAAATGAAAAATATGATGTGTTCTAAGAAATTAACAATTAACTTCACTTTCTACAGAATAGTGGTTTGGCTCAGTGCCTGCTTTTAACATCAGTGCTCCGCCAAGCTGAACAGAGCAGCAGAACTGGTCCCTCAGAGATCTGGAGGAAAGACCCAGGTTGTGCTCTGTAGCAATGGAGCCTGAAACACCAAAAACTGCAGCAGCTTGAATTTTAGAGCACCACCAGATGTTTGGCTGAGTATCAGCAGCCCACTGAGCGGTGGGTCGCTGCTTTGTGTCTTTATGAGGACTGTAATACTTTAATTCCTTCCCAAACAGTGTAGGAGGCATCGCACAGCTCCCTGGCACTGTGCTAAAGAGAGAAACGGCTACAGCTAAGCCTCCTGACCTCACTGAGTGGAAACTCGACTCACGCCAAATCAACGGGTAATCCTCAGCCCACACTCTGTGCTCAGATAAACCTTTCACGGCTGCTTTTGTATGTTCAACACTGACCGTTCTTTCATATTATGAAAAAATGCTGGTTATTTGCCCACAGCTCCACCTCCCTTTCACCATTCTCCAGATAATTTCTTTTTAAAAGATAAAAGACACTTTCTGTACGAATGCATCAATGAAACAAACCATATAGAGCAGATGAGAGATAACGAGTTTCTGGCTTTGGATGCACATATGTTTCCATCTAAGACCATACACCTTAATACCCCGCAGCGACAAGCTCCCTGATGGAGGCAATATCATCTTTATGAAACACTTTACCCCCTGGCTAAATGCTGCAGCTTGTTTTCCTGTTATTATATAAACCTCACTCATGACAGGTGTGTGTCTCATGACAGGGTGTTACTAGTAACTGGATATCTAGAACATAGATGTTTTTCTGAGTCATCCTCAGAACGTGGAATGATTAAAGAACACACAGCAGTTCAGTGACTGTCTACGTGAAAAACGTTAGAAGCTAGATCCTGCCAGGTTATCAGTATAAAACTAGAGCAAGTGCTTTGACAGAATTAACAAATTCTTTGGATGTTTGAGCTTTCACATACACATTATCCAGACTGCATTTCCCTGCCAAGCTGGAGATGTTACGAAATATCCCTCTCACGCTGATGCTGTGGTTATTTATGTAGAGAGAGATCTTTTAAATAGGTCAACAATTGGATTCGAGCACATTCATTTTTGATCCGATCTGACACGAGCCGATGTGATTCAGCTTGAATCTGTGCCATGTGAAGCAATGTAGGGTTTGTTTTGGTGTCCTTATTCCAAGTCCGGCGGAAGTTCATGTGGAAATTAATGAAAACAATCAAGTCGGGATCAGCCATTAAAACTGCATCTCAGACAGACAAGTCACGTGTTAATTAAGTGATCTTATCACCTGTGCGTTTTACTGTGATCCAAAAACTGCTTTTTATCTTTCATTTTCTGGGGCTTTGCAACATAAATGAACTTGACCTACATTCTATATTCTTTCAGCAAATGGAATATTTGAGTCACTGCTGGAAACATGAAAATCTTCCATCTCGTCCTGCCAATACAGCAGAGAGCAGGGAAACTTGTAAATGCACTGCATATATGCATAAAATCATCGTCTGTAGTCTCACAGATCATATTCTGATGTAAGCAGCTTCACGGCATAGTGGTTTGAGGACAGTGTGTTACTGAAAATATATTACACCTCTACCGTAATCCGCCGTTAGTCTTTTACAGTCTCTCAAGAGTTTGGAGATGACTTTTTGTACTATTTCCTCACTCACTCAATCCAAAGTGGTCTAATGGTTCATAACTTTCTTTAACCACAGACTCTCAGCAGACTTGTCTGTCCAGAGTACAATTAATACAGATTTTAGAACCTGCCAGTCGGAGGTATTTCCCTTTAGGAAGGAGCAGAAACACCAGCTGGCACGCTGACTGCTGATTATTAATTAAAGCTGTCAAACTTAAGAGCCTTGTTCATACTTTATGTCTATCACTCCATTATGCACACATTTGTCAGAGGAATGGCGGTTTAGGTAGGACATTCAATGACAATGAATAGCGTCTGGAAACCGTTAATTAAATAAATTGACACCTCGAATTACGGATGAGATACCTGGAATTTCATATCTCCTGTGTGTTTGTCTGAATTTCTTCAACTACAGGGGATGTTCTGAGCCAAAGTACAAGATAGATTTTAATTGATCCATTTCAGCTATTTAAAGCCCTGTCCTGACTATCAAGCCAAACTATCCCTCGATAGCACCTCTAGACAGTTTAGCGTCTCTCCACAGACACTTAAAAAAATACAATTGGAAACTGAGGGTAACAATCTACCTAATACCCTTAAAGCTCACTATTTAAGACATTAAATCTGTCCAAAAATCAAGGAGTCTTCAGGATGTTCAGGATGTTCTGGTGTGGATTATTTCTTGGCCAGGAAACATCAAATTACATTTCGATTTTTGTACAGTTTAACCAAAGAAGAGTTTATGTGTTAACTACTGAGCTTCACTGTTGTAAGGAGTCAGATTTTGTTGTTACCTTTATACAGAGCCAAGCTCGTTGTTAACTCGTTGCAACTTTAATGAGTCTCAGTTTCATAACACATTTCATAATTTTTATCAGCTACCAAAGGTCATTGATCTGGATGTGATGACTGTGATTTTCCACACTGGACAACCACATGAGCACAAGTTCACAGATCGTTATGTCACTTTTTAATAAGTGCACTTTAGAGCTATTACTCAGTCTGAAACTTGTGAACATTTGATTTTGCAGCTGCACTTTCTGGTTTGACTTTGACAGACTTTGTACTCACTTGTGGTGATGATAAATGGATTAAACTGGGGATGTGGTCAGTTGGGCCACTCATATTGCCTTCCTAAATATACTCTGTTATAAAGCTGCAGTGTTTGGATCTCTCAAATTCAACTGGTGAGCAATTGTTAACGTGTGCAAGTAAGTATAGTAAATGTATAGTATTAAATACAATATTTTACATGTCTCAGGCCATGATCAGGTTCATAAAACTGAGCAGCTGCACTACTTGTTCATTTGTTATCTGCTATAAAATAGAAATAGAGTTCTCTTAAACTGTGAATTCAATTCTGTAAATGCCATAATTAATTGGTGAGTCCATTTTTATAAAGTGGTCAGTGTTTGTTTTATGAAGCCATACAGTATAGTCCTTTCTAGTCTGGGACCGGCACATTGTCTTAGAAAACAGTATTTATGTTGAACCATAACTGTAACCCTGAGAATGAATGTTGGTCTATTTATCACCAAGGTGCAGTAACTCCCATTGAGCTCACAGCTAGAGAACGACTAGCTTGTGGATCAAACGTTATTGTCGGAGCGGTCCCATGGTGATGATGCGACCCTGACATCTATTAGCACAAGTAAAGGGTTTATCCTCTAAGAGGCTCAAGAGAACAAGTACTGAAACCCTGAAGCTAGATTCGATGCAGGCCGTAGCTTTGCCTGAGGGAGCAATGGAGAGGAGAGGGAGGAGAGACATGAGAAAACAGAGAAAGACAGGAGTCACCGAGGACAGAGGTTTGTACAGTGTCTGACAGTGAGCCACACCAAGCTGACGAGCTGAGGTGTAAAGACACGTCTGTTCTGTGGAGGTCGATCAGTGAGGGAGTTCTGATTGGGGTGATGTGATGCGAGAGAGGCAGGTTATCTATCAGTCGCTCTAACGCCGCTGCATATCTATCTGTTCTGTCAATCTCAGCCTCCACAGCTCACCTCACTGACGCCCTCCTGTCTTCATTCTTTCTTTTCTCTCTCTGTGAAGGCCATACATCATTCATTCAAATTTTTCCATTTGTGTGTACTTTGCTCACCTTTGATATATTGCTGGACCTGCTTGCTGAATGACCCAGAGGCTTCTCATTCTGCAATAGAGGAAACAAAAGAAAACTCCAGTGAGTGAAAACACATTCAAACACAGGAAAGAAATGCTGTAAATCTACATATGATTCCTGCACACTGAGAGCTGGCATGTGCCCCATAATTACTATCTGCATCACATTTTATTTGTAATGAATGGTTATGTATAATGAGTAGCTGTTTGACATTAACATGTAATTCACATTTGACCAACTGAAACAGAGCCGACATGTAAAATCCACATGTGTAACACCGACCACGTGGATTCATCCTCTGGGTACCATGAATGTCTGCACCAAATTTCATGTCAGTCCATCCTGTTATTTGAGATATTTCGGTCCGGACCCAAGTGCTGGACTGACTGAACAACAGGCGGACACTGCCATCCCAAGAGCCATGACAGTAGCATGGCTAAAAATGAGAATGGACGCAGATATTAATGCAAAGTTTTTAAGGTGTAGATATGGAATGAAGAAAATCTTGTTATACAGCAGGAGTAGGTAGGACTGATTCATGGTTTGTCTTTGTCTAATGAGCACAGCAAAGCTACATTTCTCAACAGCTCAGGGACCAGTGATCCTGAGCTGTTTGGCATCTTAAATTGATGAATCAAGGTCTTCTGGCGCAAGACGAAAGGAGGACAAGTAGATTACATAATGCATCCGTCCAAACTCAAAAAAATAAAATGGTGTCACAATATTTGTATCACTATCCAGGGAGCGAAACAGGGCAACACTTCCAGCACTCAGCACAGTCGAGTTCTGTATTGAGGCTGTGATGATGCTCAATTCCCACTCAGGGTTCTCGGCTTGCATCAGAGACTCACAAACACTCACTGGCTTGTTGTGCTGCAACCAATGCTGGTATTAACGCCTTGCGTGGTTCCTTAATGAGTAATCAATCATAGTTACATAATGCTGAGTTCACACTGGTTCTGACAGGGCTGTGGAGCTTTGGACATAAACAAATCTTTGCAAAGGGAAATAAGCTCAGCGGGGAGAGAAAGCATGGACGGATTAAACCGTTAGGGGGCCACAAATTCACTGCTGGGGCATCTACTGACCCCCACCTCCTCGTCCTGCACACAGTGGACCACACAGCTTTATTGTATGCCCAGAGAGCCAGAAAAAACAGTACTCTATGCTGGAATAAACATACCTGATCCAATATTTCACATACATCCGTTTGTGATCGTTTCATTACAATCTGATTTATGTCAGAATATTATCCATGTGATCACAAGAGACAACTACTTAAGCTGATACTGTTACAGAACAATGCATTACTCTCCTTATCAAGTATTTTTCAGTCCTTTAAGCTTAATTCTCTTAAGTGAAGGAGTCTGCCAGAGAAGTAAGAATATTTCAAGTATATTTTCTTCACCGAAGGGATTACAATTCATCCTGAGGGGAATATCAACGTCTGCACCAAAATTTTATGACAGTCCATCCAATAGTTGTTGAGAGATTTCAGTAGTTGGAAATTCAGTCATGCAGAGGAGGACACCGACGAGGGACACAAGTGGACTCAAATACTCTCTCTCTCTCTCTCTCTGTCTCTGTCTCATTCTCTCTCTCTCACACACACACACACACAATTCATCCTGAGGGGAATATCAACGTCTGCACCAAAATTTTATGACAGTCCATCCAATAGTTGTTGAGAGATTTCAGTAGTTGGAAATTCAGTCATGCAGAGGAGGACACCGACGAGGGACACAAGTGGACTCAAATACTCTCTCTCTCTCTCTCTCTGTCTCTGTCTCATTCTCTCTCTCTCACACACACACACACACACACAAAGATTTGTTTGCATGGAAATCTCGACCCTGACAACTTCCCTTATGTTTTTAAGAAGCAGCATCTGAAGTGCCATCCTTGTCTAAAGAGGACACGCACGCACACACAACCTCACGCACTCACACACACAACCACACGCACACACCACAAAGAGACCACTTGACATGCTACCAATACTTAATTACTTCAGCACTTCACTTGTGTCCTAGCTGTGACTTGTTGCCATGGTGATAAAGGACTACTGTATGTGCCGAGTCTCCATCACTCTCTGTTTCTCCTCACTTCCTCCCATCTTAAACCTTCTTTTCCTCCCATCTCACTTAACGCCCAAGGACATAAAAAACACAAGACACACACGCTGGGTTTTGGTCCCAGCCACGCAGATGAGACGACAACTTACGATTTCTGAGATCCAACTCTGTAATGATACAAAATATTTTTTATCTGTGGTGTTATAATGCATCTCTTAGGTCTCACAGTCACAGAGGAAAAGCTAAAAGTTCCCATTATCTGATGAGGTGAAGCGCTGACAGTTCCAGCCATAATCTCTGATCTCAATCTGTATTTATGTTATGTTTTAATCTGCCAACCTCTTATAAAATGCCCGCCCTGGCCGAAGCCTTAGATTCAAGGAATGTGGACAGGAAAAAAAACAACAACAAAAAAAAACACATTGAAGTTTGTATGTTGTCACCAGAGCTTTTGCAGACGGCAAAGAGAGGCGAGAGCTGTGCTTCTTACTACACTGGTGGATTCATAACAAAGCACATCTCCATGTCATTACCTCTTCAGTGTCCTCAATATAATGTCACAAAATGGTAAATGCAGCTCTCAGTGGGTGCAATTTGTACAGCAAATCAATTGTCAGATTGTCAGAGAAGATGAAAAGTTAGTTTTTACAGGAGATGACAGCACAGGGGAAAACAGACACAGCAAAAGAACAGAGAAAATTGATGATCCTTGCCCTTAATCCCTCCTTGATGGAGTAACAAGCAGATATGCCCAGACTGAAGTTTTCTGGTGAATAACAAGGCCATAAATAGGGTGATGACTTTTATAGACAGCAGTGATGAGAGCAGAGAGGCTGAAGACAGATGACAGGAGATGAGAGAGGAAATAGATCAACACCATTTCCAATGTGTTCTCGCTTCTCATTCTAACTATATTTTTCACTCCCAAACTGTGTTAGCTACAGTACAAGGTCTGGGAGTCACCTTCCCTGCCACCATGACTGTAGACTATAAAGGGTCTTATTCTCTGGGCTCATGCATAATTCTGATAAAGAAAGGCTCAGGTTTCATACTCTGCTGTGTCTGTCTCTCTCCACATCCTCTGAGGGTCTGTTAGCAGCCCAAGCCTTTGATAACACAACTTTCACACTGGACTCTGAAGAATCAAGCTGGTAAAAAAAAAAAAAAAAAAAAATGAAGCTTCGGAGAGTATGACAGAGGAGGACAGGTCATATTCAGAGGCATCGCTGTGTCCTTCAGGGCTCTGTTCTCTGCCCACAGGGAGCAGGACTCAGTTCAATTTTATGCAAGAATCTCAAAAGATAAAACCTTTGTGAATTTAACTCTGTCTCTTTGAAATGTGTCTATTCCTCACAAAGTTTCTGTCTTTGACACAACTTTTTCAGTATTGGAGTTGAATCCGCCACCTGTGCCATCTTTGATGCAGATGTCACAGATTGGTCTGCAGACTGTATGAGGGGACGCACAGGCTCGAGCTGAAACAATTCAGCCAATTTGAATCAATTAAGAAAACCAACTGGCAACAATTTTTATAATCAGTTAACTGTTTACCAAATATTTGCATGTTCCAGCTTCTTAAATGCGAGGATCTGGTGTTTTTCTCTGTTTAATATCTCTGTCTCTAAAATTTACATCTTTTCATTCCATTAAACTGCTGGAATGAAATCGTCTTTGTCCGACCAAAGATATCTTATCGCAAAGATATCAGTCCACTATCATAAATGATGAAGATAAGAGTCAAATTCTCACATTGAAGAAACTGAACCAGAAAAATGTTGGCATTTTTGCTTGAAAAATGACAACACATTCATTTTCCATCAATCACTTAACTGATTGATCGACTAATCGCTGCAGCTCTTATATTATTTATGTGATTATACCAACAAACAATAAATTTAATCACATTTTTTTTTTTTTCCCAATCAAATACTGTTTCAGGACTCATTGTGAAAAGATCCATAAAGCAGCTAAAAGTAAATGTCCCTTATTTTGTCTAAAAATTCTATATTAGTGAAGTGGATCTTGTTACCAGATGCTTCCTCCTGGTTTCTGCACCATTTCACACCAGCGTCATGCCAGAGGCAGAGCATAAAGATAGGTTTTGTATTTGAGGTCAACAGCTTCTCATAATACAGACCCGAGACTTTCCGTCAGAGAGGCTGCTTACAGCACCATCTGCGCCCGCCTGTACCAACAACAGTCTCTGTCCCAGCACAGACATGAAATGGGATTTCACACGAGAGGTCAGGGTCACAAATGAGAGCTGCTTGTCAAGCTTGTAACCCTTCACCTGTTTTTTTTTCTTTTATGTTATGAGAGATTGAGAAAGTTATGACAGAAGAGCTACGGTGCAGGCCGGTCTGAAGTGTAATGTGAATTGGACGAAGGTAAATCTACCTTCCCAGTATTCTTATTATCACCGTCTTGTGCATTCTGTATGCATATACACTTTAAAGATGTTTTTGTGCTTACATCGGAAATGTTTTTACCGTGTCTATTTTCTGAAACAGACTGCATCCATTTTAAATTATCTTCACTTCCCGGAGTATCTTTCAACAGCCCTCAGAGAACTTGCCTGGACTCGCTGCATCTGCTCTCCAGTGGAGAGAGTGTTAGTGTTTGTGACACTCGTAGAAATAGTAACAGTGCAAAAATTTGTTTTTCCAGCTATGAATGAGCAACACTAGTCCTCCTCAGTAGCAGTAAGTCATTTAAGCTGCAGTGCATTACAGTCTGTTACGGCTTCCATCAGTGGAAAAATATCTACCATCAGGCTTCATCAATGGCAACAACATGAAGAGGCCAACATTTCTGTTGCCTGGGATAGGAATCACTTAAAAATGCATCATAAATATAAACATGAAACACTGCAACGTGCTTCAAGCTTGGAGGAGAACGCAAGAACCTCCGTCAAGTCACTGCAGTGACATAATTAACTAACACCTTCATCTACCT